CAGGATTGATCTACCTTTTCTTAGCCACTGCTTATATACGAGAAACTAGAAAGACCAAATGCTTGTTTGGTTTGATTTACAGGACATGTATACAATATATCCTCTGTCCTTGGGGGATCTTGCTGCCAAGTTGAGGTACGATGACTGAACTTCAGGATTGATCAACCTTTTCTTTGCCACTGCTTATAAACGAGAAAGACCAAATCCTTGTTTGTAAACTGCGTTGAAAATTTAATGATCCACCTTCAATTCTGACATGAAGGCACAATTGAATTAGTTCCCTCTTCTTTTGGAATACACAAAGCAAAATATTTAATAAATTTTAGTGGATGGACAAGAGCAATTAGTATGGCTTTCCCTCAAGTTAACTTCTGGCACTGTTGATGAATTACACTGACGCTTATTCGCTTCATATTTTGTAACAAACGCGCTAAAACTGCAATATAACAGCACTATATGCTTCTTGACAAAATGCAATAGTATTAAAAATTTAGCCCTGATGGCATTCATTCTTGGTGGAAACGTAATTACAAAATATTTTGTAGTAACTATTGAATTCCGGCCGAAAACAGTGCACGATTTAAAAAAGAATCATTCCAATGGCGGTCCATTCTTGAGGTCCTGAAATCGCCACTATTTCCGGCCTCTCCATCGCAACTCGTTGTCCAGACGTAAATATGCCTGTTATCGCTCTCTCGTGTCAGCTCGCGTGTTTGGTGAGTGGTGCTGGGGATTGGGAGGATTGCGTGGATTCGTGTTATTGCTGTAATTGGTTTTACAATACGCTTTATTCATTCTAAACAGGCATTGTGTGGTGTTACATTTTCAATCTATAGATGGCCTTGTTTTCAATGCATTTTCGTGGGGCGGCCCGGGTCTTGGTCTTGGTCGTGGGTTAGGGCGCATAGCCTCATCGGGCTCAGAGCGTCCGTAGATGTCTTGTTGCCACTTTCATGTCTTCAGAGTTGGTAGGTAAGACAATGGAGTACTAAGCGTGGTAGTGGAACGGAAAGACAACAGCGTACCGGATAGAACCAGGATATAGTATTGAGGAATATTTCCAGGTAGGACAGTAGTTAATGTTAGTAGCGAACTATAAAATGGTTATGAACTTAGAGATAAAGAACTGAAAATGAAAGTAACATAAACGACCGGTATCTTTTATGCCTGGCTTTTTTCAACAGTCAAAATAACACTCCATATACATTAATTTGCCATTGATAAACACTCTGGTAACAATAGGTACGCTTGTCTCCTCGTTAGAGTAGGAGGATGTCGTTCATCACCATAACCATCATAACATGTATCGATACACTGTGGTCGCAGACCAGTTGTTCAGGCCGTGTACGTAGGAATGCTTTGGCCGTAGTGTTTCCCTAAGCGCGCTGCGTGGATCCATGGATAGAGAGACCAGCTGGTTAGGTTCGTCCAAACTAATTAGTTTCTAAACTACGTGATCAACTACGCTCGATACTGTCTTAAGTGCCACCACCGTCGATTGTCCTGTCAGTCAAGAAGTGTACATTCATTCACGATCAGTCATACTTCCACGCACCACTTCCACATAACACAGACCACAGTACTGGTGGGACAAAGCACACGGAGACAGATGCAAAACAAAGGACAAAGAACATTAATATTACATCTAGCGTGTTACATGTAAATAGAGGCACTACCATGCACACAGGCTTTTGACTCCAGCATTAAAAAAAAGAAAAGAAAAAAAAAAGAAACACGCGTCGGGTATACATACGCTATCGCACGTGAGTCGCACGTAGTCTGGCTCGGGCCTTGGTCTGGCTCTATTGTTTCTTAATTCACTGTTTACAGGCGTTTCATAAGATCACACGCTCGCAAGAAGATCATCACTTCGTTCAATATCTCAGGAAAGTCGTCACATAGCAGCGATTTCAGACACAGCTGAACCGCATGTCTCTGACACAGTTGCTGCAATGGTTGTCTCTCGATGGCGTACATTGGACAATCGATGAGAAAGTGCTGTACAGAAAGCAGGCAGCGACATCTTTCACACAGTGGTCTAGGCTCTCGATCAATGATATAAGAATGGGTGTACCGAGTATGGCCCAGTCTCAGACGACATAATGTAACCTCTTCTCTTCTACTGGGTCGGCTACGTGGGGCGGCCCGGCAGCGTAGGAATCTTGCGGAACTCGCCGCTCCAGCTCGGCCATTTTTGGGAGCTTGACCCAAGGCTTGACCACAACCAAGGCCATATCAGCCCTATATGATATATAGGGCTTGACCGTGGTCCGCGTCTAATGCAAAATTTCCGGGGCAATAATCTTTAGCATGTACCTATCTTTTGCTAATTTTTGTTATAGGTAACCGTTTTACTGTTTTTAGGGTCTTGGTTTTATTAATGTTGCATTCAGTGTTGATGTATTGAAAGCTGAATTCCTTCACATTTCAATGCTTTTTCAGGTCCAAAGATTGACAGCTAACAAAGTCAAAGTGGGTTTGTTTTGACCACCATCGTTAGTTCAGCATGCTGCCCTGAGCCCTGTTCAGTGGCCAGCTAGTACTCTTACCGGCACTCAAAGACATGCTGGTTGGCGATTGCCCCGGCAACAGACTACCTATTGATCAATGAGACTGTGTGGAAATTACGATGTTACTGCAATTTTTCACATACCTGTGGCTCCCATAGCGCGCTTCTCATTAGCCAATAGCCCGTTGTTGGACGAGTACGTATCCGGTATCTGTGCACCAGCAAGAGAACTAGCCAGCCGCAGAACAGTGCCCCGGACTGCGGAGCATGTCAAAACCTGTTTCTAGCTCAGTTGGTATAGTGGGTGTTGAACTTTCAGTACAAGTAGTGAGTGAGAGCCTTGAAGCTGCTTGGGTGCTAACTGCTATACTTTTTTACAACTCCTGACAGGTGACGGGAGATGGTCTGCGGTTAGTGGGAGCAGCCAGCCACAGTCAATTTGAAGTTGGGTGGGGGCAAGCAGTGTGCGGCTTTGATGGGTAATATACTTAAGTTTTAAAACTTTGGTACCTACATTCTCACGTTACCCAGAATTGCACAATCGGATTGTGGGGGTCAGGGGGTTCACGCAAGATGCTATGCTAATAGCATGGGCTCTGGCTCTAAATCTATGTATTCAAACATTTGAGCTATTTTTTCTAAATGGCAGCAGAATTGACAAATTACATAAGCTAGGGTGCTTAGTCTAAACTGTCTCACACCTACCACTCTGAAACCATACTTTCTCCACTGTATATGGCCTTTAACCTTTGCTCACATTGAAAATTTTTATTATCATAAATGATAAAACTGCATTAAAGCTGCAATTATTATTTCACCAACAAGACTTGTGTCCCAAGGTAACTATTTTGTCAGGACACCCTCACCCTGTACCTATCAGGGCAACAGTGCGGCATCAGCAGTGCCGCTTTAGAACTCGCTTCACGATGTCCACCTCAGGCAAAATTTGCATAGCACACAGGCTGTGTGCCCCCACACTGATGCAACCTTATCAACATGCCATATTTTACAGTATGGATGCTGTCTAGTAGCAGTGGCCTGTGGCCAAATTCACAGATATTAAAGCTTGAATGCTGCTATATTTTCTTTGTATTTCATTGTTGATCAGCATTGAGACACCTGAAAGCTCTCAGCTTTACATTGATTGTAAATTGCAAAGAGTGAAGTATTGGTAGGCATGACAATTTTGATGAGATGAGATCTCAATTCATCTCAAGCTGATCTAAGATTCAATGCAAAGTATGTATCACTTGAAGATAAGCTGACCATTGCAATCCTGAGCTGCATCCAGCATTCCTGTGATCCATTGGGATAAGTCAGCAAAATGTGTTTTTCGGTTCTCATTTTGTGCCTGAAGCAGACATGTGTAGTGGTACATTGAGTGATGGAGTTGCCTGAGACCATTGTTGTCAAGTGGCCCTGCCCTGGCAGTGTGGAAAGTGTATTTGTGCTGGGTGCATAATAATTTGTGGCTCATGAAATAAGGTGAGCGAACATAGAAGAGTGCTTGTCAGTTTGTCCCATGGCTGTGGTGTTTAGATTTATCCAAATTTGTTTAGTACATCCAAAGCTCACAAAAGCATGACCACAGCCTACAGCTCCCCAGCTGGTCACTCATACTCAGCTTGTTTTGCTTATCTTTGCAGTATGGGCCTTTTCACTGTTTGCTCCTAATAACTCTGCATTGTCCGTGCGGATCGCACTCAAACCTGGCTTATCTTTGGCATGACACTTATCGTAGGGTGCAATGCCATGTGTCACGGTTCATTATCGATCGAGAACAGATAGTTCAAGCTTCAATTGGGCTCAAAGTGACAGCATTGTTAGGGTCCTAATGTGCGACTTGGAGATCACTTCTCAGTGGGGGTGGTTGGGCACGTGCAGGGTGCACTGCAGTCTTGTGCTCGCTGGTTTGTCTAAAAAATTGTGAATTAAATGCTATGTCATCACGGTAAAGACATTCCAATCGTTAGCTGCGCTGTTATAATTATTACGATGCATATTGAGTATCCAAGTATCGTCGATAATTTCGGCACGGATTGGAACAGAATAGCGCCTTCCTGGGTCTCGTTTCATAAAACGAGTCCGTAACTTGCGCCTGTTTTTGATCTTGTAGCTAGTGTATGTGAAGCGATAAATTTATTTCCCCTCCTCCCTTCTATTCTTCCTTGCAAGTTGCAAGATAACTAAACTCAACGATTCAAAGTAACGTCATCGCTTCACATGCACTTGCAATACAAGACTAAAAACCGCCGTAAGTTACGGACTCGCTTTATGAAACGAGCAGGGTAGGTATATTGAATTAGGGAAACTAGGTCCCTGGTCCCATAATACAGCCTGCAAGACTCGCTCAAACTCAACGGAATGACCGTAACTAAAGTTATTCGGCAGATGACTTGACGTGCTTCCACTGCATCTTCGTTTCCAAACTCATGTTTTCACCGGTTCACTCGCCGGTATTTACGTGAACACCGCAATGAGCTCTCTTTCTGTCTTTCAGATTTGTTTGCTACTGCTATCTAAGACATCAAGTGAAGATACCTTGAGTAAATTGACATCATTCTGGTTGACTGTGCTGTTATGATCTAGCATGGTTGGTAAAGGTAAGATGCTTGAAAGATTAATTCCGTGGCTCTCATTTGAAGACCACCATGAATATAAAAACAAAATCTTATTTTTTATAATGGCCATCTTGCTTCGATTGTCTTGAGTTATTACATGTTTTGTCCTGTTGTCGGCAAACCGAAATGTCTGAAAAATGTTTTTTTTCGAATACCTACGTAATATATTTGAATTGTTACAGTAGTTTTGCTGTTTGCAGTAGTTGCAAACGTAGTCCATATTTCACTCTTACATTTATGTCACATCTATCGACATTACCCCTTCTAATCTCACCCAAATGACATGACGCCCCCCCCCCCCTCCCGACAGTGACACCCCCGGCGCCGGTCCGCTGGCGGTTTCGGGAGCCGCCACGCGGCCTCACTCCCGACCAGTATCTCCGCTGCCCTGCCGACGATCCCAAACAATGCGCTCATGGCACCTTCTGTGTGCGCGCGCACGGTCAGGAAGAGCTGAACGAATGGGTGGAGAGATTCGACCCCCGCCAGCTACTGGCCTCGCTGGGAAGGGGTGCGATACAGGTGAGATGAGGTCTGCGAACACACGGACATGATTATCTAGGAAGATTATCATCTACACAGAACAGTAGGCATAGACGCCGAAGAATAAGACGGACTTAAGATGTATTTGATGTCCTAAGGTGTGTGTGTGTTGTAAATAGTAAATACTAAATACTTACTGCAGATGCAGCTGAGTACTAAGCTGTAGCCTGTATGTGATGCTATCAGGCACTTACTCTGTCACATGTAAATGTAGCCGACTTTATTCAATAGTGTCATTGATTAGGATTTGTAATAGCAGACTGTGATGTGTTGTTTGCAAAGTCCAGGGCAGCTTCGCACCCCACCATGCCTTGATACTCCACCTGCTGAGATTCTCAAATCTCAATCTGAGGTTTTCTGTCCGCGCGAGTGTCTCCCCTTGTGTGAGGTATCTCTAAGTTTCCACTGACCCCTCCACCATATTTCACTACCCCCAGGCGCGAGTGGAGTCGGACTGGCGCGCCGGCGCCGTGCTCCCCGAGTGCGCCCTCCTCGCCGTATCCCCGCCTGCCGGCTCCATGACGGCACGCAAAGACGAGCGCGTCGAATGGCGAGTGGCGGTCACAGCTGGCTCCCTACCGGAGGGTATGGGTCTGCTGGATACCGGCACCCGTCCGCTGTTTCGGCTGGGGGAGCTGCGATGCCCGGCGCTACTGCCTGAACCGATTAAAGTGGACGCGAGGGAGTGGACGTGCCAAGATAAGGAGTTGGTGGAAAGTTCCACGCGCACCGGAGCGCCGGTAAGAAGGGAGACGTTTGAACTGGTGAAGATGTTGCGTTATGGGCGCAAAATGACTTTTGCAGTTGACCTGCTCTAAAGCCTCGATAAAAAACAAACGAACAAGCAAATGAGAACTGGTGAATATGTGTTTGTGTTAATATTTTTACATGGTATTTGTATATTTGGAATGTTTTGGGTCGTATGTGTTAAGATCAAGAGTTTGGCTTAAATCCCTGGGATGAATCGAAATAATGTGCATAATAGCTGATCAGTGGCGTAGACAGGGGGGGGGGGCCATGGGGGCCATGGCCCCCCCCCCCCTTTCCGCCCAGCCGCCCAGATGGCGCCCCAATTAGCGCCGACTAGGCTGATGCCGTTTTACAGAGGAACATGAATTAAAAAGCGATGTGCAGGCAGGGATCGAACTCAATATCTCTTTAGGGGTGCCTGGACACCCAATGTTCTCCAGGGCACCCCCAAATAGAACCTGAGCCCCCCAATGTTTAAGGGCGCCCCTCCGGAAACCAGAATAGGTATTCCGAACCCCCAGGGTCGATGGCGCCCCTGAGAGCCGCTGGCACCCACCTGAACGGAACAGTCGCCTTATTAAGGTTGATTGCACCCCTCTGAAGTTCACAGCTGCCCCATTCGGCCCCATCCAAGGTCGATGGCGCCCCCCTGAAACCACTGGCGCCCCTCTAAAGCACTAGCATTCTTCTCAAGATCACAGTCGCCCTATCTGAGATCAATAGCGCCCTCAAGAGAGCCACTAGCGCCCCCCTTGAGACTGAAGTCGTCCCGCTTGAGACTTAAGTCCAATGACGCCCCTCCAGAGCGTCTGGTGCGCTTCTGAAGATCACAGTCGTCCTCAGCCGAGGTCGCTGGCGCCCCTCAAAAGTCACTGGCGCCCATCTAAACGGAGATCACAGCTGCCCCATCTTAAGATCGATGGCAACCCTCTGAAACCAATGGCGCCCTTCTAGAGTACCCGGCGCCCCTCTGAAAATCATATTCGCCCCATGCGAGACAACGCCCCTTGAGACTACAGTCCCCCCCCCCCACCCAAGTTCAAGGCGCCCCTCTAGAGCGTCCGGCGTCCTGCTGAAGGCAACAGCGGCCCCATCCATGCCCAATGGCGCCCCTCAACGCCCTTATAAAGATCACAGTCGCCCCATCAATCCAAGGTCGCTGGCGCCCCTCAAGAGCCACTGGCGCCCACCTAAACCGGGACTTCAGTCGCCCCATCCTAAATCAATGGCGCCCCTCTGAAACCGCTGGTGCCCCTCTGAAAATAACAGTCGAATCATCCGAGATCAATGGCGCCCCTTCAGAGCGTCCGACGCCCTACTGAAGGCAGCAGTGACCCCATCTAAGCATTACACCCCTCTAGATCACCCGGTGCCCTTCTGAAGATCACATTCGCCCTATCCGAGTTCGTTGGCGCCCTCCAGTAGTCACTGACGCCCATCTGATTGGAGACTTCAGTCGCCCCGCCCCATTCAAGATCGATAGCGCCCCCCCCCCCCCGAAACCACTGACGCTAGGTAGGTAATTTTTTGACAATGGGGCTGTCTCATCGACACCAAGGACCCTTTTCAAGATGCAGCAGCCAGGCGGTGCCGAGCTGGGCTAGGATGTGCCAAGCGTTTCTTATAAGGCAGCCTCGTTAGTGCCACCCCTCGTTGCGATACCGCCCCTCAATGCGACGCCGCCCATTCGCCGTACAATGCCACCCCTCAATGCAAGTGCTGCCCCCAGCGCATTGCCGCCCATTATTGTGATGCCGCCCCCGCCTAGCAGTGCGGTGCCGGCCCAGCGTACGCCACACTGACGGAACGATCACTTTTGAAACTTTCAGAGATTGATAAGACTAACAATATGTATAAAATGTTTATCTCGGACTTTTGATATCCATGACCTAAGGTCAGGTCAATTTTGCGACTTCTCCATTAGGTATAAGTCAATTGGAGAAAATTGAAATGCGCCTCTTTTGGACGAATGTGGTTCAAAACCCTCTCAAACATCGGTTCATAGGTAAACATAACACAATGAATCGACAAAATGCACCTGTGACCCTTCTGTGTGCCCCTGAGGTCATCTCAGGTCATGAACGGTCACCAGCATTTTTTGGCTATACCTTTTGATAGAGACGTGCTAAAGCGGCGAAAACACGTCAGATGTGTTCAGCTCGACGATACGGATCGGGTGATATGCAGCATGACCCTGTCCGTCAAGGTCATGACATTGACCTGAGGTCAAATTTTCCAAATGACCTTTCAAGGTCAACGTATAGTTCATTCGACGCGTTTTGACGAGAGGAATACGATGCTGGCAAAATAAATGTCGTCACTGTCTTGAGTCAAAAGTTATTGCAGGAAACGGTTTTAACCCGCGCCGGGCCGGGGGTGTTTGAACACCCCCCCCCCCCTGCGGTTTTTCGCAGATATCTCAAAAACGGCGGCGCGGAGCGGGCACACCTGTTCGTGCATCTTTTCCGCACATGTTGTGAAAATTTCAGGTCCAGGTTGTCTTAGGTCAGGTCACCAGGTCACGCCAAGTGACCTCACTTCAGAGAAAATAAGAATGCTCGTCATAGCTACACCGATTGATCGATTGCCTTGAAACTTTCAGCGATTGATGAGAGCAACATTATCTATAAAATGTATATCTCGGAATTTTGATATCGGTGACCTAAGGTCAGGTCAATTTTGCGGCCTCTCCATTATAAGTCAATGGGAGAAAATTGAAATGCGTCTGTTTTGCACGAACGCTATTCTACACACTCTCAAACATCGAGATGTAGGTAAAATTGATACACTGAACCGGAAAATGGCAACTGTGACCCCTCGTTATGTCCCCGAGGTCATCTCAGGTCACGAACAGAATCTAACAGTTTTTCGCTAATAACTTCTGATAGAGGCGTGCTAGAGCGTTGAAAACGCCTTAGATGTGTTCGGCTCGACGTTGCTGATCGACTGATATGCAACATGACCTTTTCCGGTCAGGTCATGACCTTGACCTAAGGTCAAATTTTCAAGTTGACCTTTCAAGGTCAAATTATAGTTCATTCGCGACGCGTCTCGACGAGAGGAACACGATGCTGGCAAAAGTAATGTCATGGCTCTTTTGACTCAAAAGTTATTGCCGAAAAAACCGTTTTTCAAAACGTCTATTTTTGGAGTTTTTGCCCTCTGGAGGCTAAACCGTTGACCTGAGGTCAAATCTGAGAACATTATTCAGAAAGGTCTGTAAAAGGGCTATCGAATGCACTTTTCCGCGGCGCTGTAGCTTTATCGGTTCCCGAGATAGCCGTTGGCAGTTTCCAAATTGTTGAAATAGTCAATATTTTACCTTTGGTGACCTCTGGTGACCTGACCTTTGACCTGACCCAAAAAATGACCGAAGTGTTTTCGTCCTTATTTTGGATGTTCTTTCGATTGCCGCTTACTGCGTGTCGCTACGTGGCCCAGGAGCCTAGTTAGAAGGGGGTATTCAGACCCCCCCCCCCCCGGCCCGGCGCGGAATCTCAGAGCACCGGCCCGGCGCGGGTTAATAAAAACTGTTATTTTTGGAGCTGTTTCCGTCTGGAGGCTAGTGGCAGTCAGTCACTGGAGGCAGTCATGCATGTCCACAAGTAGGGGCTGCACGCACTAGACATCGAATTGTTAAGGTGATGTGTGGAGAAAAAAAAAACAGAACGTATGTCAGCGTTCGGTCGCCTCTGACTGCAGTCGCTGCTGGTATGACAATGAGTTGGGATCTCATGGTGGATCTCATGGTCTTAAATGTTCAAGTCTTTCCTTGATTCCAATTTAGGCAATAAGTCGCAGCGTGTATCCTACATACGTGCGCTCTGAGATTCTAAACACGGCAACCCCGGTCGACTACAGGCTGCAGCCCACAGGTCACTTCGGATCAGCGAGTGAGCCCGTATATTTTTCTTTTTTTTTGCAAAGAATAAAGATTCTGCCTATCGATCAACGTATAGTTATTTTACCGTTTCGAATTTGCATGGATGCGTATTTTGAGAAAAAAAAATGTCCGTAGCCTGAGCTCGTTTCGTATATCATGCTAAAAATTCATCTAGATCAAGGTTTTTTGGATAAAAAAACACTATGCTGCAAATTGCATTAATTTGATTTTATGAAAATCAGCGAATATTTTGCAACACCTAGTAAATCATGCATGAACATGACGTTACATTTTAGACTGACACCCCTGTCACTAGCTGACAATGGCGCCCCTCTCAAGGGAAAAAGTCGCCCCCTCGAGCACCATGGCCCCCCCTTTCGCTGATCTCTGGCTACGCCACTGTAGCTGATCACACACCAGTGAATTTGAGCCCTGAGAACTAAAAATTTACGTTTATGTACTGATGTGTGTGCTACTTTGAGCTGACAGTATTGTTCCAATGTCTGTCTTTTTGCGTGCTCTGAGGTGCATTCCGATCTGTCCCGACAGGTGCGTTTTGAGGTGACAGTTGAGTTGAGTTCTGGTTTATGTTCTCATATGCTCTCTGACCCGCCCCGACAGGTGCGTTTCGAGTTGATAAGGGTGCTGATATGCGTTCTGTCTGTCTCTCACAGGTGCGTTTCGAGATGACGGTGTCATTCTCCGCGGACGTGTACGGCTCCTACCGCCAGCGACTTGCCCTGGTGTTCCCGCACCACGCGCCCCTGCTCTGCTGGCTGCAGGTCAATGTGGCTCCCCTGCCCGTGGATACACTGGTGGAGGAACTGAGGGGGAAGCTGACCATCTCCGAGCACGGCTGGACTGAGGAGGACGCCGAGGTGAGGAAGTTAGGTCACAAAAGCTAGCAGTGAGAACGTAACCATGAGTGTGTCCTGACTCTTAAATGAAATGCTGTGTTGGGAGAACTAAGGTAACTGTATTTTATGTGCGCATTCAGTGGCATAAAAAGGGCAACTTTTTCCAATTACCATGAGGTAGATTCTGAGCTCTTTGGAGCTCGGAATGCCTAAAAAATAATCAAAGTTTACCGACATCCCGGCATCATCACCAGCTGCAGATCATACCACATATAGACCGAGAGTTTCTCAGTAGTCTTATTTTCTTTTGAGCTTGGAACTCACCTTTAGGTGAGCTATAGGTAAGCATTTATGTTATTCAGAGATGAGTAGCTGACCTACTAACTATAGGCTGGAAGCTAGGCTGGACTTCCTACCTCAACAGGTGTGATACCGTGAGCTCCATTTACTTTACCCTCCGCCAGGTGGTCCCGTTCTCTCCGGACCCCAGTCCGCCGGATGAGCAGGACAGGAGTGTGCAGGAGGCCTACCCTGCGCCCTCCGCCGACCTGGCTCCGCCGGCGGACCGAAGTCCGCTCAGTGCGGAAAACTACGCGGAATGGAGCGGAACACTGCTCAAACTGGAGGAGGCAGCGCGAACCCAGCTGCTGCACACGTTCAATGTGACCGGACAGCTACGGCTGATGGGGCACTTTGTGGTGCCGCCAGAGACCACGTGAGTAAGGGGAGATATTTGGGAGTGGTAGAGAGGAAGAGATGGCTGGCCTTTACCTTTTGATAACGTGAGTGGTAGGATTTGAGGGGAATTGAGTGAGTGTATTGCAATTGTGAGTCGTATTATATTTTATGATGCGAGTGTAGTTATATGGGTCGTATCGGGGTGGAGTGTCTAGTGAGTTAGTTGATGGTAGATTTGGGAAGAATATTTCTTGAGCTTAGTTAGATCGTATGCCTAGTTGCCTAGCTGTACATCTTATACCTATATTTTGTGATTGTGGCCTGCGTGTTGTTTTGCTCAGTCACCAGGAGTTATTGCTGCACTGTTTTTTTTCTCTCATGTGCGTTTTGTTATTTTGTAGTGCACTTTACCTTACCAACCCTGCTGACAAGCATGCGGCAGTGAGCTGGCAAATGTTTTGACTCGATTGTGTGGTAGTTTTACCTTGCGGACATCGATATCCTGTTTATTGTACTTTCACCCTGTAACGTCGCCGCCAAGTGTCCTGACTGGCGTCCTGTTTATTCTAAACCCCATAACTCCGCCGTTTAGTGTCCTGACCGCTCGTTTCCGTTCGCCAGCATCCACCACGTCCGCACGGGTGAGCTGTTCGCCCGTCTACACACGGAGCAGGAGCTGTCAGCAGACACGGCCGCCGGACGACTGATTCTGGACAACTGTGAGCGCGCGCTGCTGGCGCCCGTCACCAAGGTGAGACACGCGAGACACTGTTACCCTAGTGAGAATTACGTTAGGTGGTTACGGAGGCGAGTAGCCTGGCAGAAATTGATAGAAATGTCACGGGATAATCGTGCTCGTAGCCCCGCTCAAGCGGTACATTGTCTATTGGGCTCCACGGAGGCATGTTCTTAGTTTTATGTAATTAGTTTTGTGGCTAAGCGGAAACGCAATACGTGTAAGCTACATCAGTCAGCGTGTAAGCTACATCAGAGACGTTCGCATACCGAGGCATTTGGAGATTTGAGAGGGTCGGTTGCTTAGTTTCACTGGTTGATTTATTCCATTTGATGTGTTAAATGTTGATGTGATATTCAGTATTACAACACGTATGGTCTGTATTGTTGTCATTCTTAACGCCTTTTCACCCACCCGCCCCCAGAACCCGACTGAGCCCACAAAGCGAAAGGTGTACGAGGTCCTGATAGCTGCCAAGGCCAAGAATGACATCTACCTTCGGCTGCCGAGCCAGATGGTCTCAGGTATGTCCAGAGACCCGCGGCCGGCCTGAGCGAGGTGCAAAATGATCGCTTACCGTAAATTTACCCGCCCATATAGTTGATCATCCAGTATGTGTGTGTGTGTGAGGGGGAGGGGGATAGTCGAGCAAGGAAGCTGCTTCAGTTGGCTGGTCTTTGATGGGCGGGGTGGGAGAGGGGAGGGCGCAGTTGGTTGTGCCTAGATAATCTACCCCGTTATCAGCCGGTCCCTTATCTGTCCCGCTGAGACTCTTTAACTATGTGCCGTTTGTTCTAAGGAATGTGTTTTATCATGAGTGCTGCCCAGGTGTCCGTGCTCTTTTTTATTCGAGTTCGCATGAACACCATTTTTCAGCGTGCGGATCACGTTTTATCTACTGTTTATTCTCATCCGCGCTCAAACCCCGTTCTCTCCCCACCCGCAGACCTATCCCTGAACGACGATGACGACGCCATGCTGCGGGCCGCCGTGCGGTTCCTGCCCAGTCGCCAGTGGTCGTGTGACATGCAAGAGGGGTGTCGAATGGCGGCCGAGAAGGCGCCCCACCTGCTGTTCCCTGATACCGCTCAGAGGCCGACCATACCGTGGAACCCGGCCAGGTAAGCGCGGACACTGGAGGCATTCAGTGCTGGTTAGTGAGAGGTGTTTGTTTTCGTATGATCTGACGCGGTAGGGCTGTTTTCGCGAGTCTGCTGGCCGTTTTATGCATTAACAAGCCTAAATTAAAGATTTTCATTAGTTTTTTTTTTTGTCAGATTGTAGGTGGGTGTGACTTGTTTAACCTTTTATTATATGACCCTTTTTGTCTTAATGGCTCGGCATCCGGCGCCCTGTCAGAACTCAGTCATCTACATACCTAACCCCCTTTTCTGACCCCTACATCACCCTGTCTGACACTCTGTGACCCCTTGCATGACCTTGTCTGCCCCTGTGACCATAGTGCCGCCCTCTCACCCCGTCTGATATTTACCTAACCCGTTACGCCGACAGTCACTGGCGCCCCGAAGACGAGAAACTGAACCCGCGTCAGAAGGAGGCCATCAACGCCATGACGGTCACAGTGCCGCAGCCGCTGCCGCCCGTGCTCGTACTCGGTACGTCCTAGGGCCGGTCTGTCGATTATTTGGGGTGCTATGTTAGGTTTCTTTTATGTAAGATGTTGATGTGTTACCTTTGTTCTCGGTACGCCCTAGGGGTGCCGCCTGAATTAGCAAGTCGAACCTTTGGATTACATGCAGCTATGCTATTTCCTTCTTTGTATTATATTCGTGTGTCATGTGCAGCGTGTTTGTTCGTTGTGTGTCTTCTGTGTCTGTCATTTGTTTGCTTGTGTTGAGTTGTGACTACTTGCGTGTGTGCGATTAGTGCATTATAAAGCGACAGCACTTTTGCTGCCTTGGTGCGGAGTTTGCTCTCAATTTTGGGATAGTGTGTCTTTCTATCCGTTAATTCTATTCATCTAACTTCGTCGCTGTGATGCGTAATTCCTTGAATCGACTGAAATCTGACATCCCTGATTTTCGTTCCCTCACAGGTCCGTACGGCACGGGTAAGACCTACACCATGGCGCACGGCGTCAAACACATTCTGAACGGGAGCGAGGACTCGAGGATCCTCATCTGCACCCACAGCAACAGGTAAAGACTACGCTCATCGAGTGATGTCAGCCTCTGAGAAACTCAAATGCATGGATGGTTCCCGAAGGGCGTGTTGTTGCGGATGAATAACGTAATAAGGTGCTGGTCAGAGCCTAATCAAAAGGTGTCTGAGGTTAGTTTAATCCCCCATCCTGGTCATGGGTAGGTAACCACGTTTGTGTTTCATTTCCTAATGAAGGACGAAAACGACATAAATTTTTCAGACACAATTTATTGTCCATATTTTGTTAACATCGTCATATAGCCATATTGTAACCTTTCTCTGTCACATGGCTGTAAAATTAATGTCGGATGCTCGGATGCCGTTCGCATCACTTATTCTCACGTTCTATTTTTTCCTCTCGTTTCGATGATCTACATATCTTCGTTATTATTCGGCCCCAGTCCGTCGCCCTCTCTGACCCCCCCCCCCCCTTTCTCTAGCGCTGCCGATCTCTACATCCGAGAGTATCTGGCCGGGTACGTGAAGGGCGGCATGGAGTCGGCCCGTCCGCTGCGGGTCTACTACCGACGCAGGAGGCTGGGAACAGTGCACTACACCGTCCGACCGGTCAGTTAAAAACGTTAACGCTTTCTTTATGTGTGTACGAACTTGATGTAATGGGCGTACTTTGTGCGGTTAGCAGCTGTCACTTGTGTCCATTTTTTGTTGTATTCATTATTTATAGCCACCGTGGTATTCATCTTGCTATTTAAATTAGTGGTTAATTGCACGTTATATTTCTTAAAATGTTGTCGACGGCCAGGTCCGTACCGTTAAATGACTAGGGAGACGCTTTAGCACTTACATTATCTATTCCAGTCTTCTCCTGTGTTCCGTTTACGCCGTCTCTCTGTTCCTCAGTCCGATCTCTTTTCACCATATTTGCACACCGTCTCTTCTCTCCCATTTCAGTTTTCACATCATTACTCTTTCTTAGTTTCACACATTCTCTGCTTCTCAGCTTGCAGGCTGAGGTAATCATCAGTCCACAAATACTCACACCTTGTCCATTTATGTTTTGTGTAATCCCCATTGACGTCGTCTCTCTGTTCCCCAGTTCACGCTGCGGGAGGACTCTGACGCTGACGACGACGTGGTGTTCCGTCATCCCACCACTGAGGACATACTGCGACACCGGGTCATCGTCTGCACGCTGGCCGTCTCAAAGTAAGTGGAAAACGTCTGTTCTCTGTCCATCTCAAACTAACGCCCACTGCAGGACACCGGGTCATCGTCTGTACACTGGCCGTATCAAAGTAAGTGGAAAACGTCTGTTATCTGTACATCTTAAACTATCATCCACTGCAGGACACCGGGTCATCGTCTGTACGCTGGCCGTGTCTAAGTAAGTGACACTGCGACACCACGTCATGACACGGCGTCAGTAGCTCCGGCACCGTGTCGTTGTCTGCCCTCTCGATCTCAACTTCAGCGGAGAACAGCGTAGCTGCCTCCACCATCCGCAATCCACATCGGCCCTCCCGACACACGGGCAAACACGCCTGGGGCTGATTTACACCGGAGCGTTAAACGACGCTCTACCCTGCTAAGTATGTAATTACGAGCGAGCGCAGCGAGCGAAGCGAGTCTTTTCGATATAACAGAAAAATCTCAATATGAGCGGCCCGGCCCGGCCTGTAACGCTTTTGAGAGGCTTATATCTCAGCAACCGCTGGACCGATAAGGCCTGCGGTCTTTTTTGCTGGGTAGCCCCATCCCTTCTACCCCGTAACTGACTACTTTTGATACATCTCAGTGACCGTCGTGGCACGTGCCACGTGAAAAGTCAAAGGTGTCCAAGCTGTTTTGAAAAAGTAATGATTTTGAGAGGCCCATATCTCAGCAGCCGCTTGGGCGATTGTCTTGCGGTAATTTTTGTAGGGTAGCTGCATCCCTTCTACCAAAGGTCGGATACTCTTGATCTACGTTAGTGACCCCCACTGCACGTGCAAAATGCAAAAAGAAGAGATGCCAAATTTGTTCCCATTTCAATAACACTGTAATTACTGGGGCGATTTCGCTGAAACTTGGCATACAGGTAGGCACCCATCAGGCAATGCATTCCCATGTGTTGCGGTTAGGGTGCTACTGCACGTGCGCACGTGCAGGGGGCGCTCCCAGATCTCGAGAACGGCTGGGCCGATTGCGCTCAAATTTGGTACACGGTTGGGGACTAGTTAGTAGGGTGCCGTGCAAAAGTCAGTTTGGACCCCGTATGCACGTGCGCACGTGCAGAATACCGCTTCCAGATCTCAGGAACGGCTGGGCCGATTGCGTTCAAATTTGGCACACCGCTAGCGACCGGTTAAAAGGGTGCTTTGCACAAGCCCGTTGGAAGTACCCTCTCGCCCTTCCGCACGTGCAGGGCTCACTATCTCGCTCGCTCGTTCTTCGCCCAAAAAGGCGTTTTACTCAAATTCGACGCGGGATGATCAGACTCTGCCTCCCATTAATTGGACTAGACACTATTCAGCCGTGACGTGAGTCGATCATTCATTTATTCATTCATGTCGTGAACATTAAAAATGCGAATTAGCCCTGGCGATCCTTATCTAATCTAACCATCTCTCTCTGTTGTTGGCCACTCCGCTAACCGTCTCTCCCCACTCTCAGGTACCTAACGTGGCTGGACCTGCCTGAGGACACCTTCAGCCACATTCTGGTGGACGAGGCTGCTCAGGCTCTGGAGTGGGAGGCGGCCCGGGTCCTCTCCCTGGCTGGACCACAGACCAGGCTGGTCCTGGCTGGGGACCACCTGCAGGTCAGTGATGGAGGGGAAAATGGAGGTTGGGATGTTGAGCCGTGGGTCTTTTTTACTCTAAGTGTATTTGAATAACAATGACTCACGCCTTCCTCGGCTTCCTGGGTCTTGGGCTCGTATTTCGACGCTATTGATGTGTTTCTGCGTCATATTGGGTCACATCGGGACATAATGGGCTAACCAATTAGTACGTGAGCTTGTGTCCTTCTTCGCTTTGCTCGCTGTCCTTAACGGACATTGCTATCTCACTTATCCCCTGGCGCCCTGACATCATTATTCCAACGGTAAGTTGGCGCCGGACGTATTCTACTCTGACGACTGGCGTAACCATGCCCATCATCAGCATTCAGCTGTCTCTGGACGTCTACCCTGAAGTACGTCGGGAGAGGCGTTACCCCCAATGACGTCATTATTCCATCATCAGCTGTCTCCGGACGTCTACTCTGAAGTGTGTCGTGAGCGGTGGTACCCCCAATGACGCCATTATGTCCATCATCAGCTGTCACCGGACGTCTACTCTGAAGTGTGTCGGGAGCGGCGGTTTGAGCGGTCCCTTCTGGAGCGTCTTCAGGAACGTTACGGCTCCGACTTCCCCTGTGCCATCACACTGCATGAGAACTACCGTTCGCACTCCGACATCGTGAAGGTAAGGGGGAATAAAGGGGACCGGTTATGTTGGAAAAAGGCTTTTGATAACGAGGATCTGCGTTAATTTACTTAAAGGTAGTGTGCCAGCTTTCTTGGACCGTATGGAGTTAATGGCCCAGATAAGGAGAACCGGATTTTTAGAACTTATCCATACCTTCAAAACTCATGGAAACGTCTTAAATTCTTCAAATTTTGAGTACCCCAGTGCGAAATTCGCCCCGACGGGTTGTCGGTCGTACCCCAACCACATTTCACACCACTATGAACAATAAATGCACACACTGAAATCGCTATTACCGATATGCTCATCCAATCAAGTTTCGATAAACCCGTTCATCATCATCTCCTGCGGTTTCGAACACGCCTGTTAGGTGGCTTCTGATGCTCGTCGAGGTCGGAATTTCCAAATACGCGTGGTGCGTCGGGCCGCGCGCTCTGACTTCGGCCAAGAAAAATGCGTCAGCTGATCATTGTCATTTCTGCCACTTGCGTGTGGTGAAATGGGGTCATGACTTATAAGACGGCTTTTTCATATCAATTATTTTACATAAAATCATATTTCAAACCATAAATAATGTTCGACAGCCAAATAAAAGAAACAATACCAATACGGGCTTACAGTTTAAGGCTCGACATTGTGTTGTCTACGATTAGACAGCTGATAACTCATTCCCGTACGTCGTATGGTCGTAACACTATAATGACCTTTGCTTATTGTCACAAGTGCGCCGCATTCGCGATTGTTGCCCGACGCCTGTTTGCAGGTGAGCCCACTACAGTTGTTATACATATCTAAAAACCGAAAAACTTTTAGGCGAAAAAGGCACTATTCCAGGCCCATTTTTGATTTTTTTTGCGATATTAGGTAAGAACAGAAGCTTCTTATCCTAGGAAAAATAAAATGGGAAATCTTTCAAAGGTGGCACACTACCTTTAACGATTGGTGAGAAGGCGAGCGATCATGGGGTAGTTCAGTAACCTCTATGCTTTTACGTGCCGAGTACGAAGTTCGTAATGATCATGGATAAATATTGTACGTGGTCCAATAGATCGTATAGGTGTAAGGACGTGTGCCAAAACAAGAGCTTGCTGGTAGGTTTCTCTAAATCATGTTTATCCCTAAAAAAGAAAAAAATCCACGAATATAGCGAAGAGAATGCAGTCTATTCGCATATTGTTTATTTCAACATAAGCCAACTTTCCCTTCAGCCCCTAACCAAACAACCAACCAATCGACCCCCCCCCCCCCCCCCTCCTGATATCCATCTAACCCGCCCACCAAATTGAACTGTGACCACTGTCATTAACCCCTTCCCCGCCACGCAGACCTCATCTGACCCCTGTTAAAGCCTAACTGGCCTCTCCCCCCTCCGCACAGATGACCTCGGAGCTGTTCTACGGCCGTCGTCTGAAGAGCCGCGCCCATCCGGGCCGCCACCCCGAATGGCCGCCCGTGTCGGTGTTCAGCGCACGAGGCACCGCCCGCCAGACCAGCGGAGACACCGGCTATTGTAACGACGAGGAGGTATGTGTACTGTGTGCAGTTTTTACCGGCTACTGTAAGTTGAAACGACAAAGAGGTATGTGTATTGTCCAATGTCCAGTGTAATCGGAGCTCAGTACGACAGGCCAGTGTTTATACTGGCTGCGGTAGCGACGAAGAGGTATGTGTACTGGGGTGAAGTACGACAAACCAGCGGGGGTAGCGGCTTCTGTAACGACTAACAGGTATGTGTATTGTGTAATGGAGCGAAGTACGACAAACGTCCAGCGGGGTGAACGGCTTATGTAACGACGAGGAGATATAACTTATAAGTGGTCTAGGCTCGACCTGTCGGCCAGTGCGGAGTTAACGGCTTCTGCAACGACGAAGAGGTATGTGTAATAGACGGGATGCTACACTATATTTTGGAGGTATGCTATATGATGTGGTATGCTAGGTTATGACGAGATATGATATTTAGTAGGAAACACGAATCACGATGGAGAGGAATGGGATAGGACGGGATATGATGTAGGGGAGAGTGGGGCACATTCGTGCAAAAATGGATAAATCCATATATCTGTTCTTTGCTTAGTGCAACGGCAAAATTGTTGATTGTGGTATGGAAAGGAACTATTGCAGATATTTTTCCTCTTTAAAAGTTATCCTCTAAAATTATTGCTTCTATTAGAAAAAATGACTTTTAATAACTCTGAACGTTTGCACGAAACTGCCCCACCTATGGGGCACATTCGTGCAAGGGGTGGGGCACTTCCGTGCACCCTGCAAAGTTCTAGAAATTACCGGGCATTACCAGAAATTTACCAAAGGAAATTGGCAGGGGGTCATTTCACTTGATTCCTTTCGACAAGAATGCATTCCACAACATATGTACAGGGATGTTCACGAAAAACTGACACATTTTAAAACGACTTTGTGAGCATGTGAGAGCTCACGGAGACTTGACTTGCATGCCATTCGAAAGCCTGTTGAAAAAAGTTTTGTATCTGCATAGCTCCTTTAGTTAGCATCACATGAGCTTCCAAATGAATAAGAAAGCGTTAAAATGGGGAAATTTGACTTGGCGACAAACTTTAACGGAAAAACAATGAAGCTCTCGCGGCTGCCATCTGCCACCACGACTGAACCAGTCTACGAATTCGTCTAAAATTTGACATATTAATGTTTGGATGGATTATGTTTTATACTATTGGCATATTGTGGGCAAATTCCTAAGGAATGCCAAAATTGGCAGGCTTGGAAGTGCTGATGTCAGAAACCATGGCCGCATGCTGGCAGTCACTGTAGAGTGGTACCGTGCCATCTTTTAACAGCTTCTGTTAGCTACTGTAGCGGAAATGGGTCGACGTCTACACCATTTGGTGGTTCTGGCACGTCAGGGCCACCCTACGTACAGTAACGGCGATCGTCGGTCTCACACGAGAACAGGGGGGAGGGGGCACTTGTCTCGCGCATCACCTCTCACCCATAGCCGGCCATTTCGCTCTACCTCAACTCCGTGGACTATTCCTGTGGGGTCACGTGAGTGACATGATCTGTAGCAGCGGCCCAAAGGACATCAAACCTCCCGACGAGTGCAGTGAGAGATGTTGCAATTCTCCAGGCACGTGCCCAAAAACGGGGAATAATTTCCTGTTTCGGGCTGAGTCGTGCACTGCTCCAAAAACTCGTCATCTGCAAAATACGCTGTAACTTCTTAGAAACGAAAATGACATGATCCCAAAATATGTCAATACAAACTTAGAAGTCCACTCTATTTGCCCATAGCATGATCACCGTTCTGAGGGCAAGTGTTTTCTCGTAATTCGGAAATAAAATGTGTCAGTTTTTCGTGAACATCCCTGTAGAAAGAATGGGCTGGCCAACAAGAATGTGCCAACTGCCGGCCTCCGTGACCTCGCCAAGTTCGCGTGAATTACTCGTCACGACGTCGCAAGCAGCCGAGACTGAGTCAGGCGAGCGTCATTAGTGAAACCTACTATATGTAGATAAAGTCATAAATAGCAAAGACTAAAAAAAAATATGCACGAATGTGCCCCCAGGCAGTGCGTACACGAACCTGCCCCACAACGTTATTTGTAATATATTTCAAAATTTCTTGTTGAAAAATGACACTTTGTCAACAAACAAGTTTGCAGCAGTTCCGTGAATAGAGTGAGCATCTTCGCCCCCAATTTTGAAAAGCTGAACCACATTTCCGAGTCAGGATCACGAAAATGGATGATATGAGAAAAGTTTGGAAAGGTCACGAATATTACAAATTTGCGTTTTTATCAAGCATGACAGCAGGTATGTACAGTGTTGTCTTCTACGGTGAACGAAGGGCGGCAATGATAGACATATTTCCATAATTTACCTTGAGCTCGTGCAGTCACTCGTGTTCCCATAAACTGCTGAAAACGAATGTGCCCCATGCACGAATGTGCCCCACTCTCCCCTAGGTTATGATGGGATTTGGTGTGGTGAAATAGGGTATGGCCGAGAAACTAGGATGGGTTATGATGAAATGGTATATTGTATTGTGAGAGCCGAGAGGTTAGGATGGTTCTAGAACGGAGTGGTGTACCTATAGCTTAATTTTGGGTAATTGGTGGCGGAGTGAACATTCAGATATTGGTCTAAAATGATTGGAGTTTTTGAGACGCCTCTCAGCCTGACAGCGGTACCAGGACATCGCAAGGCCATATATAGTAGGTAGCGACGCTGAGCGATTTGTTTACAGCCAGTTTCGATCCCGATGACGCAAATGGACATCGTCTAACCCTTACTTGACATCGAAGAAGACAATTTTGTTTACCTGCTGACGGTGTTGTGGATGGCTGTATGATTTATGGTGTTAGTTAACGTACCCCATACCCTGTTGGTGTAGGAGTTATTCTGTCTTCGGGTGTAAAAAAGTGAGCCGCTTAACCCCGCTTCCAGGTGTACTAAGTATACCCTGTAACTCCGTTTCCGGATGTACGAATTAAACCGTCCAACGCCTTTTTCCAGCTGGTGTCCAGGGTGTTTCATAAAGAATGTCAATTTTAAATTCGCCATATTAACCATATAAAACAATATATTTGCATAATTTTCAGATTCACATACACCAGAAGACTTGGACATTTGATTTTTGTCGGTTCTATTTCCTCTATCTAGACAAACGGTTCCACGACAGCCCCGTGAAGATCGACGCACTTTCGGCCCCGTCCACGGATATGGCGCACGGCTCGGACTTCGAAGCACTTCTTCTCGGTCCATGGGGAGTTAACGAAGTCTTGCTCTAACTCTAAAATGAACTCTAAAGTGAAGGGTAAACTCTTAAAGTGAAGCCGAAACTTTCTCATCAATTTGGAGATGTTCTAAAGACTTCCGAGCTGCAACACTATCCACGCCTGCTGTTCTTTCGAAAATGGCGTATTAATCCTTTGAGCACGGCGAGCCGCGAGGTGACCCCGACATATCCCGTTCTGAAAAAAGAATGACTACAACTTTGGTATTGAATGCTATTTATATAAAATGTCCATTAATTTCCAACAATGCTTGAAAGTTTGCACGTGCTAGACGCATTTTTTCTTTATGGACTCCCAAGTTTAAAATTGACATTCATTATGAAACACATTCATTATGTAAGTGAGCCCCTTACTCCGTTTCCAGGTGTACTAATTAAAATAAAATATACCTCATTTCCAGGTGTAATAAGTTAACCCTCTAACTCCGTTTCCAGGGTGTACTAAGTAAATGTACCCCGTTTCTAGGTACTAAGTACATAAACCCTCTTATCCCGTTTCCATGTGTATCAGCTTCAAATGCACCCCGTTTTCAGGTGTACGAGGTAGCGGACCGGGTGGCGGCGCTCTGCCAGGACTGGCCCCCCGACTGGGGACCCCGAGACGAGGGCTCCGTCTGCGTGGTGGCGGCCTACGCCGAACAGGTAAATAGGGATCCAGTGGCCCGTCTGTAGGGATCCAGGCCAGTGGGCCGTCTATGGGGACCCCGAGACGAGGGGTTCGTCTGCGTGGTGGCTGCCTACGTGGAACGGGTGACTGGGGACTCCGACTCAGGGGCCCGTCTGGTTATTGGGGAGTCGGGGACTGAGGGATCCGTCTTCGTGGTATCAGCTGCCTACGCCGAGCAGGTCAGGCATCGCTTAGACAAACACTTGGTATGCTCTGCCCAGCTCTTTGTAAGTTCGACTTAAGTAAGTTCAGCATGCCTTCAACGGGTGACCAATCATTGATCGAGGTCTGCTTAACATATCTCCGTCATGAATCCCCCCCCCCCATCTTTTTTAACTTCTTCCAGTCGATTATGATAGCCGATAGGTTATACATTTTAGCCAGCACAACTGCATGAACACTGAACACGAACAGCCTACTGGGTTAGAAGGCTGTGGACTGCAATTGGAGCGCCTGTATCAGCTGACGCCTGGTTTTATCCATGTCCCCAGGTTCAGAAGATCCGAGGGGAGCTGCGAAACAGAAAACTGCCCGGAGTTACCGTTGAGAGACTGCTCAACGTGCAGGGTAGGTGACGTGAGACAGAATACTAACATTAGAAGCATGCAGTGATGATGCTGGGTGTTTGGGTGATTGTGTGGGAGGTTGTCATTACAATTCTTGGAGAATGAAGGCTTTTGAGGCTCGACATACCCAAATTGCATTCATTTACATTGATTTGCAATTGATTCATTGCGTAAGCTAAAATAGGACTGCTCACATGCATCGATGCGTTAATTGAATACTGCTTGAATGACCATATTTTCGCTGCGTTTTCCCTTCTTTTTAGCTTGGCCATATCCGTTTGTTGCTAGTTTCAGTAGGATTTTGATATTGAAATGTAAAGTCTATATTAGCAGCGACTGCGACGTAAAGGTCAATGTCGGTATATCGACCGGAGTCTATTAGTTTAGTGGGTCGTGGTGACTGGGCTGCATGCACGAGGTTGTGCGTGTATGCAGCCTAATATTCATAACATAAAATGTAGCCTTGCAAGCTGCGAATGGCCCTGCGACTGGTTGTATTTGAATTTTGCACGGGAAAACTAATGACGAGATCGAATGCTAGCTCAGTGGCGAAAAAGAGCGAAATGCCTACAAATATCTGCTAATATTCGTCCTTGCCTCTGAGTGCTCTGTCTTTGAGTACATACAAAGCTCACTAACCCCTCCGACTCTTTTTTAATTAAGATATTCAGATGCAGCTAAGGGAGACCAATCGAATGATACCAATAACTCCATTTCGCAAAAAAATGTCGGTTACGTCTTTTTGCCTTTGGACGGCAGGCGCTCAATGTCCTCTTTTTCTCCCCTCAGCTTTACCCTCTCTAGATCTCGTCGCCAATGTGTTTTGCGGCTGAAGCTTCGGTGCACCGCTTGCCATCGACATCTTTTCTTTTCCTCAAACATTGTACCCAATATCATTATGGCGGCCTGCCCTTGGGGTGAACGAATTGCTAGATGCACTTCAGTTTACCCAGCGCGTGGACAAATAATAAAAGAACTCGCCACTCCATCACAATAAATGGTTTCTTTGTAAGTACGTTCTTGTCCGCGTGTTATGACAGTCCTCGTCACAAACGCAAATACACACACACTGAGTGGTGTGGTGGCCTATTGGTCATCCATCAGTATTGTGTACCGGAGACCGTCTTTTAGTACGGCTGTCCGCCTCCCCCCCCCCCCCCGCTTCCCCCCTCACATACGGGCTCTGTCACCTGCCAACAAAAAGGCAGTTCAAGCCCGTCCTAAGCGCCAAATTGATTGTGTCAAGAGTGCATGCATATGCGGTACATTTCCGTATGTATGTGTGTAAGCATGTGTGTGTATTGTGTATGTTTGTGTGTGTGTGTGTGTGTGTGCCTGTTTGTGTGTGAATGTTTGCATGTAAATGTAATATGTATGCATGTGTTCTTGCATGCATAGAGATCTTATGATGTCCATGTACGTGTGGGTATGTTTGCAAATAAGTATGCCTGTGTGTACGCACATTTTTCTATGCCTCTGTGAGTATACTAATGTGTGTATGCCTGTGTGTCCGTCGCTGTGTATGTGGGTGCCTATCGATCTACCAGTTCATGGAGGACAGGGGCGAGGTCGTTACATCGGACGACCACCCCCGCCACTGCTCCACCGACCCCTCCAAGTATCGTGGTGGATGCCCTTTCTGAATAGATTCTGTGACCTGCCGATCCGCCATTTTATTTTTTATTGCCATTCAGCGACCAACAGACTTTGGGACACTGGCTTAGTTTAGGTCATATAGCCGAAGCTTGGTACGCTCGGAGATTAGTGGAAACTGGAAACACAGACGCTTTGTTTCTATTTCGTGAAAGATGTCGTTGAGAAGGACACCCGTTCTCTCCAGAGACAGTTGTGAGAAAGGTTCTCAAGAAAACGGGGCCACCTGACTATGTTCTTCATGAAATAATTAATTGACAATCGACATGCGTGCGGTCTGAGACGTGTAAAATGAGGACATTATGCTAGGACGTTGTATGTCTTGGTATCAAAGTTGCCGTCGGGAAGTCATGGTGGCTGGCGTCGGACGTGCACTGCGTTTTTTTTTCTCGCAAATTGGTTTGTTGAACAGCTGTTACAAATTATTTTTGAACTATTTTTTAAGTATATTTGCCCAGATATCCCTCGTTTTAATTTGAAAATTCGAGTAATATAGACGATTTAATTTGTATCGAAGAAAAAACAATAACGACCGTATAAAAACGACGCATGAATGCCGGTCGACTGTGGCTGTTTTCACTTCGCTTTGTCAGTTTCACATTGCGTCGCCTCAGTACACACTGCACTAAGTGCATCAGCCCTCCGCCGCGTGTTCCTCGCTCCTTCCCTGAATCCATCGCAGGACGGCGTAAACCCAATGACCGCCACACCCTATAGGTGCCTAACCGACGGACTCCATACACTGACGTGGTATACGCCGGTTGGCCGCCCCCCCCCCCCCCGCTGCCCTCCCCCCCCCCCCCCCGGTCCAGGCGTCCGCGGAGGCGGTGCCACCGACGGCTAGCAGCGCTATTGATTTGCTCACCTGTCGCGGAGCGCGACTGCTCGCTCGTCTGACCGACTTCAGTCGTTTATCCTACGCTGACGGGGAGACAGTGTGCAGTCGGGATTCGAGCTCGTGAAGGAGGGTGGCAGCTACGGAGTGAGTGAATCATTGCATTTTGCAGTTTATGTGCGCCACATCACATCGGATCAAAGCTGGTAATTAAATGGAAAATGTCGTCATCATTGGCTTTTCAGTTCCGCTTTCTTCGCTCGATCATTTACACTCCCCATTAAATCCATTTTCGCTGTCATAATTATTCCTAACGGACGCCCCCTCCCCGTCTTCATGTAAGGAGTTTATTCTACACATGTCTCTGACTCTCAAACCCCTGACAAAGTATTTATGATCCACAATTATCTCCACCTAACCCTCTTCCCATCCTGCTGGAGATCCATTTTCCGTCGTACTTGTCTCCAATTGACAGCATGGAAGGAAATGTTGCCGTTACTGTCCCCAACTGAGTTCTTCTGTCTACAGGAATTAAGGACTTGAGGCCGCGTATGCCCCCAGCTGCTTCTCTCGTTTTAATTTTCCCTCCTTCACCCCAGGCAAAGAGTTTTGCACCGTAACTTACCCTCATCTAACCCCTTCCCTTTACCCCCAGGTAAGGAGTTCCGCGCCGTGTTCGTCTCGACAGTACGCACCCGCACCTCGTGCTCCGAACCGGACGGCGATTACCGCTTCCTCTCGGACTGCAAACTGCTCAACACGGCTGTTACCCGGGCGCGCAGTCTGATAGCCATCGTGTGCTGCCCGGAGACGCTGTGCTCTGTGGGCGCCTGCTCCAGGTTAGTACAGTCTGATAGCCATCGTGTGCTGCCCGGAGACGCTGTGCTCTGTGGGCGCCTGCTCCAGGTTAGTACTCGGTGTGTGGGTGGGCTTGGTTTGTTTGATCGTCTGGTCGTTTGTTTATTTGGTTGGTTGGTTTGTGGTATTGATTTGTGTCGGTCTGCCTCTGACTGTATATGTGTCTATCTGCCTGTCTGTTTTTCCCGTATGTCGTCTCTGTCGTTGCTTTTAGCAGTGAGGTCGCTGTTTTTTTTTTTTTCTTCTTGTCTTATGTATCGAATGTTGTCTGTCGCCTCATCTGCAGTATGTGACAAAAATGACTTTCCGTCTGATATGATAATTTTTCAGTCATTATCGTGGCCATTGACATATACGTATATGTCTCTGTCTCTCGTTTTTATCTCAGGTTATGCCACCGAATACCGATTTTTCAGACTCTCACCGCCCGCCCCCTCCATTTCCAGGGCAGATGCTTGGTGGCAGTGGTGTCCTTGTCTCTGTCTGTGGTCTCTGTCATCTCTTTCAGCGATATATCTATCTCTATCTCTCTCTGTTATTTTCTCTTGTTTCTAATTCCCCTCTTCCTCTTTCAGATACTGGAAGGCGGTGACGTTTATGTCTCTGTCTATATCTTTTTTCTATCTTCCTATCGATATCTATCTGTATGTCTGTCGATATAATGTTATGTGACGGTCTTCTCCCGTCTCTGATCGCCCTTTCCTCCCCCGTTACAGGTACTGGGAGGCGGTGGTGGGGTTCGCGGCCAAGAAGGGGGGTCTGTTCGGTACCACAGAGGCGGAGCTACGCTCCCAACTAGGAGCCATCGAACTGTTCCGGCTGCACGGCCTGAACCCGCTGGCGCCCTGCTTCCGGCCGCAGCCGCAGCTGCAACCTGTGCAACATCAGGTCCAGCAAGTGCATCAGTTCCAGCAAGTACAGCAGCAAGTGCAGCAAGTACACCCAGTGCAGCTACCGCAGCCAACGCTGCCAGTACAGCAAGTGCAGCCTCAGCAGCCACAGTCAGCCCCACAACCTCCAAAGCCTCAGCCAAAACAAAAACACCCAAAGCCACAGCCCGCACAGCCACAGACGCCTCCACAGGCTCCAAAGTCACAGCCGCCGGCGGTGCATCCTGTACAGCCGGTGGTACCCCCACCGGTGGTCCCGCTGCCAGTGGTGGCTCCGGCTCTGCAACTGGCCCAGCAGGGGCCCCTGCTGCCGTGGATGCCGGCTCTGAACCCGGCCCAGGTGCGCTACGTGCCGCCCATGGCCTTCATGAGGTGAGTAATAGGGGTGGCTGGTTAAGAGGTGTTGGCTAGAGCGGGGTGGAACTCGGTGTATCGCACTGTAAGCGGGACCATGAATCAATGGAATGTTTGTGGAAAGAGGTGAGCGGAAGGTGGGATGTTGGCGCTAGCTAAAGTTATGAAGCATTTTTTTTCCACAGCTTGTTCTAAGATTACAGCTCACTATATAAAAATTCGCCAACGTTTTTATGTTTTCGATTTTCAATGAATTTGTGTTTGTTTTTTGCTGTGATTTTCGTTTTTGTTTATCCTTGTGCTTTTTCTGACCACTTCCCTCTCCCCATTTCAGCCCCGGTCTGATGCTGGGCCGACCTCTGATGATGGGTACTCCCCTACTCCCATACGCGGCACCGGTGCCCCATATGCACCCCTCGTCCAATGGACACAGGCCGGGACGGCGGCCGACGCGCCCGCCCCCGCCGCTGGCTGTGGCTGAGGAGGACGGGGTCCTGTTCGAACTGATGTCGACAACGGATATGATCGCGCTGCTGCCACCGGACGTGAGTGGGAAATGGAATGGAAAGAGAATATGGGATGGGACAGGGATTGGAAGGGATAAACACGTGTTGGTATGGGGCTACAACAGCACGGGATGGGAATTGGGAAAGGGCGGGACAAATAATAGAACGTAGGTTAAGGGTAGGATTGATGATTGGAACGGGACATGAGACAAATCTTTGAACGGAATGGAATGGGATCAGGGCATGGTAGGCATGGAATATGAGGGGACAACAGACTGGACGCAGCTAGGACAAGAGAAAGGAAGCAGGGACATCTTAGAAGGATGGAGAAAATATTGCGAGAACCGCTACATCAGTGTTCAATGGCTATACCTAATTGTATTGACACACTCCGACCCGGCTGTACTGGGCGCGCCCCGACAAATATCTAGCGCGAGCTAACCCCCTCCCTTCCCCCCTCCGTCAGGTGAACCTTCAGCTGCTGTTGGAGGACACGCGCGTCCAGCAGGAGTGGGCCGCCCACCTGGCCAGTCGCCGGGGTCCTGTGTTCGCGCAGCTCTTCTCCGTGCTTATCAACCGGCTGAGGCCGGCAGCCAGCGGTGAGTCATTGAGGGGGAATCGTGGGTGGGAACATGTTGATACTTGGTGGGTATTCGCATAGGCAGCGATATTAGGATATGTTAACTGAGCGGTCTCTTCTATGAGCGGCCAGGTGGGATCTCGTCTTGCTTAGTCCATGAGTTAAAGTTACTGATAATGATTAATTATATGGGTGTCGTGTCATGTTGCAGTTACTAACATGTGACATGTGCCGCTAATCCATGACGCATATTGTTTAAGGTGGCTGTAAGTTTGATTTAACTCTAATTCTATGAATTTGAGTCGTTTTTATTTAGATAAAGTTAATAAAAGTCACACTAGGTTTGTGCTGTGGTTGGAACTACAACCTCTCACCGTGTTCACCTTGTCATGCAATGGTTTGACAACCAATACTTTGGGCCCTGCGGTGTGAATGCATGTTTGACTTTCCCTCAATTACCCTAAAAAAGTGCAACTTGTTTACCTGACATTGCGTGCTGTCCATACTATTGCACGCGGTAACCCTTCTTCGTGTGTTTCTATCACTAACTCCAAACCGTTTCTGCACGATGACATTTTGACTCTTGTCTTTGCTCTACAGTGCCGTGGCCGCAGTCATTTCCCGTTCTTATGAATGAAGTACGTAGTTTGGGGGCTTAATTTCTGTCCCAGGATGCTTATGACTTCATTGGTGATATGTCTTGGTCGCTCTAGTGGTGATGGTGATCGGATTGGTGTGACGTCTGGGCCTGGTGATGGCGGCGACACGTTTGGTGGTGTGTTGGTGATTGTGCAACATCTGGGCGAAATGATGCTGGTGACGTTATTTGTCTACCGTCCAAATCTGCTGGTGCTTGTGTGCTGTGCTAGCGGTGGTGGCCAAATGAGTCCCGCGTACATTTTATCAGCTCATTTGCCATGAATAGGCGTCTAGACTTCTCTTGTCACACCGTTCGAGACCCTATTGTGCGTGCAATGTGCATGTCAGCAGACGTAGGTTCCCTAGCCGTCTGCCTCAGGACAGACAGCCTATGGTGTGGTGTAGCTGGTGGAATTTCACCGGTCGTGTTGTACCGCGTCTTAATGAAACAGACTCTTTCCGCGTTCAGGAAATCGCATGCGAGAGCCTATTCAAATACATGGAAGCACGCTCGCATCAATCGCACGCACCTCCCGCAAGCGATTGATGCGAGTAGAATTACACTGTATTTGAATAGGCTCTCGCATGCGATTTCCTGACTGCGGAAAGAGTCTGTTTCAGGCTTTACGCTAGTCCAGTGCACCGTGGCTTACTAGGGCGTCGGTCGTCAACCGTCCTCTTTCCACTCTTGGGCTTAATCTTGCCAAGTGGCGTGAAATGGATTAGGTAACACTGGCTGAAGTTCAACTGGGCCGTAAACTGACGGTAAATGAATTGTTTTTGCTGCACACAATTTAGAGTTGCCAAGTCTAAGTGAATTGAGTCGGCTTACAAGTCATTTGGGAACGCCTAGATATTTTCATAGAAAATTATAAATCTCTTTAAAGGGAGACGTCTGCATGATGTTACCAAAATATTGTGTTAATACTTAATAACAAAGTTTGCAAGACGAATTTACATATTCTTACATATATTTACATAACAATTATGTGAACATTAAAGAATTACCATATATATTACACATATTTCACACACAAAGCACGCCACTCGGTAAGACTATGCCCTGGGGAGTGTGGACCGTTGCGTAGCGTCGTTGGACCTTGGCCTAAGTCGACGGTCTGAGTAAACCAATGGTCTAAACCGACGGTCTAAGCCAGCGGTCTAAACCTTTGGTCTGAGCCGGAGTGGTCTCCCCTCAGGTGTGGTGATCGAAGAGCGACCCGCCTCTCCGGTCTCAGCACGCTCCTCGCCCGTCTCAGGGTCCAGTGCCACCTCCCCCTCCTCCTCTGTACACCTAACATCGGACAGAACCGTCCTACCGGCAGAAACGACTAACTCAGTCTCCGCGGGAGACTCTCCTTCAAGCTCTTCAGCTTCCTTTCCTTCAACCTCTTCAGTAGCTTCGGCTTCCTTTCCTACAACCTCAGTAGCTGCAGCGTCTCTACCAGCTCCTGTGTCTCCTATAGCGTCCATCCCTCCGTTTGGATCCTCTACCAGCCCTGTGTCCCCCTCCTGTCTCCCCGCAGCCCCCGCCCCCGCCCAGACGCCGCCGCCGGTGGCCGCCCAGCTGGATAGGATCCTGGAGGATCCGTCAGAGTCGGATCCGGATCCGATGTGGTCACAGAGGCATCTGACGGCAACTTCGGTCAGTGGTTGTGTATGATAGAGTTGGATTTAATTCTCTATTGCTGCTGCCACTGCGCACGGCTTATGGACTGAAGGAAATAACCCAAGGCACTGCACAATCGCTTAGCGCTTACCGGCTGATTGGAAACGATCCCAGGCATTGTGCTTTTGCTTATCTCTTACGGATGGTCGGTATGTTGTGGCTGGTGCACTAATGCAGCTTATGGGGCTGGTTGGCACCTCTCACGCTATCTGCACCTTCGCTTTTTGGTTGATGTGTTTGGCCTCAAGCAAACTGGATCTCTGCTTACAGGACTGACTTTGATTGCCAAGAGAAATGTCGGCACTGCTAGCGTACAGTCTGTCTTAAAAGTACCGCGCAAAGTGACTGTGGATCCATCGAGCCTGATTGAGGAAGGGCCTGCTAAATTTGGGTCACCGAAGCAATTAACATCCTCGTCCATTCCCTAGGTCAATTGGTCGGTGACTTTCAAATTAAAGCAGGCCCTTTCTTGGTCAGGCTTGATGGATCCACCGTCACTTTGCGCGGTACTTTTAAGACAGACTGTACAGTCGGAAATGTCCAACTTGCACTGACGGCTTATGAAGCTGGCTGCCACACAACTAGCGTGACTTTTAGAGCTGGCTTCACTTATCTGCACCTCCCACAGTGTGGAATGACACATTATGCACCGCCGGGAGTGTTAAGTGCTGACATTTGATGGCTTGCTATTTCTTTTCTTTTTGCTGTAAATTGGTACATTGTGTTTATGAATAATTAATCAATGCTGCACGACTTCGGGTTCATTGCCGCTCTCTTAACTGCTGCGTCAAATGATATAATTAGCAGTAGGTAAGCGTAATTTCAGCAATGCACTTTGACTCGCATCGTATGCTACTGATTTGATTGGACCTTCCATTTTTGTTATCGCAAAGAAAGTTGATTCCATTTTGATTGAAAGGATCCGCAATATGCCTTACAGGTTGACGTAGATTACATAATACATAAGTTTGTAGTGGGTCGTGCACGGGTTACTTATGTTTTATCCGGTGGCTTTTGTGACGTTTGATCAGACACGGTAATGGATTTTGTGACGTGGACATCTCAAGTTCTTGCCAAAGGCTCGCTGCAGGTTATTTTAATCTGAGTTGCTATATAGGCTCAATATTTCATTGACGTCCACGGACCATTCCATAGAGTTGTCATCGAGATTTGACGGCCTGCACAGGCGCGTTTCTTTTTCAGTTTGGCTTTTGGACGCTCGTGTATCGCACATCGCTAAAATATGCAGCTTTATTTACAGATTTTAATTATGTTCTGCGTGTATTTCTTTCTGCATGACTGTTGCACGACTTCGCTTTGAACACGGTAGCTTAATTATCCCCACAACATATGCACCTTGGCCCTTGCCTTTCCATAACCCTTCGCTTTAGCAACAGTGGCTGCCAACGCTTTGGGTAGGGTTAGGCGGTAAGACCAGACATGGATCGATCTTTGCGCCCGGCTTGTTGCCTAGCTGCTTTGCCCGGCTAATCGCATTGCAGGGCTGCAGTTGAGCTGTTGTTTTTCAACGGCATAATAGGATTCAGTGGCAAAGCCAGGCGAATTGGGCCGTCTAATGCACCGACTGGTAATGCCAGGTTATTTAGAATGAAAATACGCTAGAAGGAAGTTGGTGTTTTGTTTTGGTTACTGACTGACGCCGGAATAACGTTATGTAACTTTGTTTTGGCTTGCTGGAAGCCTTGCTATGTGTGAGCATAATTGATGAATAACTTCATTGTTCCATAATTGTTAGGTACTGAGTTGTAAAAGTACATAACTTCAATGACATATTGGTCAAGTGCTAGTTTTTGCTCAAACATAGTGCACTGCAGTAAGCTTTTCGCTTTCTGTAACATGCCTGTTGTCAACCCAAGAAGCCAGAAGTTATTGATTTTCCTGGTCTCCGCCACAGATGATGACGAATACGTCTGCCCCAAGAAGGGAGGCGTCTCCAGCGGACGTAAGAGCAAGAAGCACGCCTGAGCAGAGCCCCGCGCGACGCGAGGCCCCGGCCCCTCCAGTGCAGGTAAGAACCGCGGCTCAAGACGCTATGACGTAGTGGAGTGGTTATGGAAGGTTCGCCATGCATATAACAATGCCGTCTGTAGTGTATGTAAGTAAAATTAGAGGAAAATGTTGAAATGCTTATACAGGAACGGCGAGGATTTCTTTTTAATTTTTATGCAGCTAAATTTCTTAAGTGCGATTTGCTGGTTCTCTGCTTCTCGTTTCATTTGTACGTGCTCAGCATTGGTCTGCTTTTTATGTCAGCGATTTGTGCGAAAGATCGGTTTTGATGTCGCTCTTAGGAATAAGATCCGGGCCGTAATGCGCGCAACTGTCTGCCTGTTGTGAATCTAGCCTAAGCTAAGAAAAGGTTCAGCAAAAGGTCAAAACTCAACGGTTAATATTGGCTTCTTGAAACATCAATATGTATTTTAATTTAAGACTAATACATAGTTTCTAATAAGGTAATATACTTCGTTGTGACAAACATCAATATCCGGTTAATCATTTAGTACAGTTTTTGCTTAGCTTCTCGACATCAGCCTTTCTTTAGCCCCCCCCCCCCTTCTCCTGTCTTTAGTAATCACAGATCAGCCTGAGCCACAGCAGATTATCAGAAACTTTCTTTGTCGTTGCCGAGATGCTGCGGCAATCTGTCTTGGATTCCGTCGCCCTCGTGTCACCATGCAAGAGCGCATCAGCTTATCTATTTATTTATCATCGTGAAACGTGACCGAGTCAACTGACATGTGACTCTGCGACCGCTCCCGTCAGTAAAGGGACTTCCCAGTCTTTTTACCATCCCCCCATCCCCCATCCCCTGTGGGTAAGTTGTGCCCTGTCAATCTATGTATGTACACGCGACTCCGTCCCCTCATCTTATCTTTATGAGGACTCCTCAGCTGATATTGATATTAACCCCCCCCCCCCCTTGTTGCCAGGATGTGACCATTATGTCAACCTACACTACACGCGACTCTGCCCCCTCATCTTGTCATTATCAGGACTTCCCAGCCTGTCTATCCCCTATCCATCCCCTGGTGTCAAGTTGTGCCTTTTTCAGCATACACTGCGAGTCCGCCCCTCGTCGTATCATGTTAGACCTCACAGTCTGATTACCCCCCCCCCCCCCTTGTCGCCAGGCCGAGCCCCAGCAGCGCGTCTCCCTGCCGCTGTATCTGCGTGGGGCCGCGTCTCCCCCGTCCCCTCCTCGACCGGCCGATACTCGGAGCTATGCGGCGGCGGTACGACGCAGTCTGGAGCCGCCCCCGCCGGGCCTGGCCGGTCTGCCCAGCCGCGAGCAGCATGCACATGGATACAGCCATTTCTAGCGACGTGGAGATTTGGTTTGGCTTGGGAGGGAGGGTTATTGGAGTTGGAAGAGTTGCAGAGGGATAGTGGAAAGGAGGAGAGTTTAGAGTGTATAGGGTTGAGGTGGAGGGTGGAGAACGGAACTTGAGGTTGTGTTGGAGGTTGAGTTGGCTGTTGAGTTGGAGCTGTTGAAGTTGGACCTTTGATCTTGAGGTTGAGATGGGCTTAGAGGTGGAGAAGCTTGCTTTTCACGCTACCCAAGCCACTCGTGAGTAAGTCGCTCAGACGATGGACGTTGGACTGCTAATGAGCCAATCGCACACTCATGATGATCGGACTAAGAGTTTGCCCTGCTCAAACGTTCTTTGTGTACCGTGGTACCTCGTGTTCCGTTGTGTTCTGGGTGTTCTAGACGGTGTTCTCGGTGTATCATAGTGTATCATAGTGTGTTGTGCTGTGTTGTGTGTTGTGTTTGTGTTGTCTGGCGGTGTACTGTGCTGTGCTGTGTGCTGTAATTGTGCTGTGTTTGAAATCTGCACGTGTTTGCTACACTTTACCATGAGTTGTTCCATTTACACGTGAGGAATTTCAATCATGGGCGTGTTTTACAGTTTTAGCTTTGGTGACTGTCGCATGAACGCATTTGTATCGGTGTTGTATTCTTAGCTTAGTTTTTCTTCTTCTTGACTCTTCTCCGACAGTAATTCATCGGTTTCACACAATCGTCTAACCATTCGGATGAATTTTACTCTGTAAAGTTATAAGTGTTGGACACAAAATCACCTCGGTAGTTTTTTTTTCTTTTCGTGAACAATTACCGGTGAAAAGTCGCATATTGCGCAGCAGTTCTGAGATCGACCCTCGCCAGCTCCCCACCACCTCCATCATTGCCGGACGGGTATTTTCTGCGCTGACTAGCCGGATTCACGAGAATTCCACTCGCACCCCGACCGTGCCGCTGATGTTGTCATGGCAACCGTTTGAGTCGGTCGGTCAATAACATGTAGTGAGCTAGGGTCGGCGCATGAGATGATAAACTGCTAGCTCTAGGTCTGTGCTAACTACACATACAGTCAGTGGTGCACAAAATTTTACCTAGAAAATAGATTTTCCAAATCCCTTACACGTCTACTACTCTCTTACACTATCAGTCTTTTCTATGTGTCGCTTTACTGATGTCATGTATTATATATAAATGTAGTTTTACCATTTTTAGTCGCACTCGACGAGAGGAGAATATGATTTTATCGTTCCTCTGCTAGTTTTGTAGACATAATAGCAGGTGCTTTATTGGTTTTAAACTTTGGATGCGTTTAACTTGTTCGTGTTGCGCATAATAATGCTTTTTAGTTCGCTTTTGGTGTTGTCTTAGCTGGCAAGAGTAAAATGACAAAAAAAGAACGGAACAAGCTAGTTCCTTTGGGCATAGTAGGTACGGTCTAGCCGACACGCTTTTCATATTAGTGTTAATGCTCCCCACTAGTTTAGCTTTGTTCAATGAAGATGACTTGAAACAAAGTTTCATGCTTACAGAGGCTTCATGCATGCTGCTTTTAGGATAAGCTCTCATGAATTTCGCTTGGGCCACCATTGAATGACTAATCCGTATATTTTATTAACATTTTACAGTGGAACTATCTTATTGTAATGGTGTGCCTTGCACAAGGTATTTTTCTATTCTCTACTGATATTTCATGCATGATATTATCAAACAGATGAATGCGTAGATTGTCTTGATAGTTGTCTATTATAGCATCAGGCCTCCTGCCATCTTTTCAGTGTCATGCTTTGCTGATTTCGTCTCATTTTAGTATAGTCTGGTCTTGTCCCATTTGTTTTAGTTGCGTAAGTGCGTTAGACCATTCACTGTATTTCTAATTGCTGTGTAGGCCCCCCCCCCCCGCAATAGTTATAAAGTTTAGCAATAAGTAAGAGTGTCACCTAACACTTTCCACCTGTCAAAGATAGCACAAGGTCTAACATTATCACATATTTAATCAGTTGTAGCACTTGAAACACCATCTAAGCTAGTTACACAGATTGAACATTCCAGCAATCGCTATAGCTATACAGAAAGTGTAGCACTACTAACTCTGACCTAAGTCAGTCAGTTGCTGGCTTATGATGATGGCAACACGGGTTCTAGATAGACATAGGGCATGCTTGTAGCCAGCATAATAATTTTCCCCATAATCACGTGACACCCTCGACCGTTTTGACATCTCGCCGTAGTATTGATGCTACTGTTTCACTATGACTAAGGCACTACTACTCTTGACAAGCTAAAGTATTGAATAAATTATTTCCTTCATAATAATCTTGTCCCAACGAGGCTAGCTGTAAGACCACCCATCCTTGGCCGTTTTTTCCGTTTGCTGGGCCGGTAATAACACGGTTCGTCGGAAGGTCATCTCAGGCTCAAAAGAGACGATGTATACCATTCGAAAGCTTACGGTGAGCTGAATCCAAAAATGTATTTTTCATCAAAATCGATCGATGGCCTTTTTTGAAAATTGCGTTTTTCTAAAAACTTAATAATCTTTTATTCAACGGGCTGTCCCGGACATTCTTGAAAACATAAACATGTATTTTTGAGTTCCAATGAAAGCTGAACGCCAAAAGAACAATATTTAGCGAAGCAATATTTCCAAACATTAATATGCGTCTCCCACAGCCGAAAATAAGGCGCAATCACACAGCTCAGTGTCACGATGGACCAAAGTCAGCCATACAGAAGCGTGAAATGACCCTTATCGACTCGCAGACCCGGCGCTCTCGGCCCGCCTGACCGGCCACGGAAAGAACGTTCGGCTCTCGTTCTACTAAACAAATGTCAAAGTTGGGGCATTCCACGATAGATCGTACCACTTTTTTCCAATTTGACACCCTCATCTCTCGGATTTTAACGATAATTGGTCTAAGGGGTAATCAGGGGCTCTGAATCCTCCTGTGACAATTTCAGGCTTATCAGATGATTAGTTTTTGAGTTATAGTGTATAACATGTTTTGGATCTTGCGTTGCAGCGCCAAGTTTGGCGGGCTGTAACTCTAAGACGGATAATCCAAATGCCAAATGCTATACGGCATTGAACTCGCATTGAAACAAAAAATAATATGCGTTTTTGAAATTTTGAAATATAATATATTTTTGATATATAACACCTCGAGCTTCCTTTCATTTGCATTTTTATGCCTTTAGGACCAAATTTTTTTGAATTTTTATTTTCTTAAAAACATTTTTGGATCATTTTTAAGCAGTGTGCAAAAAATTAGGAAGGTGTTCTTTCTCTAAATGTACTTATTTTGCGTTACCGTAATGGTCTCAAATTGTAATTTCGGGAAGAGAGCCTACAAATGGCGTGGTAAAGCTGCCTAGTGACATCACTGGTTACTGAAAGTTCAATTGAAGTCATTTGTGCCTGACTTTTGCATTGTTGACCTTGCGTGACGTCATTCGTACGTCACTAGGGTCATAAGAGTTTTTCGTCAATAACTCTCGATCAAATTGAACTAGAGAAACGGGAAAGCTACCAATGGACTCGGGAAGACCTTGCGAATCGAATGATGTGCAATATGATCTCATTCACCCAGATTCGTGGCCTGACCCGACTGTTAACCATCTCTGTGGCAGCGCTGTTTGTCTAGCGCCGCGCTGGTTGGCTTTGCCGCGGACTCGGGCGGTCACGTGATGCCCGGGGGCTGGCTGCCGGCTGGGCCGCCCGGTCGGGGAGCGGAGCCAAATACACGGCAGTGTGCTGACCCGAGGTCAGCGACTTATGCTAACCTCACTAGAACAAACAGTATACCATTCGACGCGCCGGAGCTAGGCAAACTCAAAGATGCTAAAATCGCGGCTCTGCGACCATTTGTTGCGAAGTTATCTACCAAAAACCGGACCCGTAATTTGGGTCACTTGAAATGACCTCAGGGCTCACCAATGAACCCGAGACCTTAAAATGTGGTATCATTCGATGCATCTTGTAACGGCGCACATGCTCGTTTTTTTCCGCAAGGTTCTAGCTCCATTAGAGGCGAAACGGCGAGCTGGGGTCGTACCGACCCCCCGGAAACCCATTTTATATGCATTAAAATGAGGAACTTATAGAAAGAACACCTTTCTAATTTTTTGCATGTCGATTTTAAATGACCTGAAGTTTATTTTGAAGAAATAAAAATGGCAAAAATTTTGGTCCCAAGGGCCATTAAAGACAATTTTAAAAAATATTACGACTTTTTTCAATATGTAAAGCTTTTCTTTCCAATTTTAAAAAAGCTGTATTAATCTTTAATTCATCGTCAGTTCAAAGCTGTTTACCGTTTGTTGCTTGCTTAGCTCGTTTTTGAATTATAGCTCATCAAACTCACCCTTACAATCTGAAGTTAAGAAAATATTATGCAATATAACTCAAAAAGTTTTCATCTGAGAAGTCTGATATTTTGGCAGGTGTTTTTGGAGCCTATGATTACCCCTAGTACCAATTTTCATTCAAATCTGAGGGATGAGGGTGACGGGCCTGGTACGATCTATCGTGGAATGCCCCAGTTGTCAGTTTAACTGTCCACATCGCTATTAAAGCTATTCAGGATACCTGTGAAGAAAATTCATTGTTCTGTCATCTTCACATCATGCATTAATTTGCATCTGTTCATGTCTACTTTGCTCAATTGAGCTTGGTATCATGCCCATATAAGGAAAATTGGCCGCGCTGAAATGTCAGAGGCTGCACCGGCCTCAGCTCGGGTGGAGTGGGGGTAGCGCCCGGCGGGGCAGGGTAACCTTTGACCGGTCGCACGGCCGAGCAGCTGTCACCAGTACAGCCTCTGACAGTGAAACCCCGCTCACTTCCCCTGCGCGGGCACTGATCGCAGCTGGATGGAACAAAACATGTATAAGAAAAATGTAAATTAAAGCATGTTGTAAATCAAGCAGAACAAAGAATTTTCTTCACAGGTATCCTGAGTAACTTTAATAGCGATGTGGACAGTTAAAGTGGCAAATATTACATTTGTTTAGTAGAACGAGAGCCGAACGTTCTTTCCGTGGCCGGTCAGGCGGGCCGAGAGCGCCGGGTCTGCGAGTCGATAAGGGTCATTTCACGCTTCTGTGTAGCTGACTTTGGTCCATCGTGACACTGAGATGTGTGGTTGCGCCTTATTGTCGGCTGTGGGAGACGCATATTAATGTTTGGAAATATTGCTTCGCTAAATATTGTTCTTTTGGCGTTCAGCTTTCACTGGAACTCAAAAATACATGTTTATGTTTTCAAGAATGTCCGGGACAGCCCGTTGAATAAAAGATTATTAAGTTTTTACAAAAACGCAATTTTCAAAAAAGGCCATCGATCGATTTTGATAAAAAATACATTTTTGGATTCAGCTCACTGTCAGCTTTCGAATGGTATATACCGTTTCTTTTGAGCCTGAGATGACCTTCCGACGAACCGTGATAAAGGGCTATGTGCCCCCAAAAAAGATGCACCATCACAGTTATCACTTTGACGTTCCTACACATTCCACTAGCTATTAGGTGTTTGTAGACGAGGCTCCAATACGGAGTTCCAGAGAGAGTAGTGCTAAAAATAGTTCCGGCGTGACTGTTATAACCGGGATAGGACGTTTTCTTGGCCCACTGTGCGTTGTTGAATGGTCTGTGTTGACGTGTCCTGGTCCAACGTGCGTTATTGTGCGATGTTAAGCATCCTGGTCCACTGTGCGTTGTTTGTTCGGTCTGCTGTGTCGTGAACCACTGTGCGTTCAGTATGTCGCTCGTCCTGGTCCACTGTGCGCTGTTGATCGTTGTGTACTTGTGTCCTGGTCCACTGTGCGCTCGGCACCGTTTCCAACCTTATTCCACTGCACTGTTAATATTATCATTGTCACTGCGTTCGGGCACTGTTCACTGTAGATATCACTGTTACACCACCGTGCATCGCCCGCACAAGCTAACACTGTTATCATGTGTCACTGTAGCCAGGCTTTGTACACTCGCCGCGGGTGTAAATGTAATCATGTGTATAATCTAATCATGCGGTGTTGCTCAAAGGCCAGTGTCATGGTGTTTCCGCCGGTACACATTCCAGCACAAAGGCCAGTGAGGCGGAGCTCATATTCAGGCAATAATGAGCGAGCAGGGAGCTCGGAGCAGGGTGGTGGATGGAGCTGAGGGCTGGGCCATCTGTCACGTGACATGATCCGGGGCCAGTGGAAACGCTAGATGGAGCTCAGGGGATGTATGGAGGCCAGGGCCATTTGTCACGTGACTTGACCCCGGTGCCTGTGGAAACCCTAAATAGAGTTCAGGGCTCTGTTTCACAGCATGACCTAGCGATATCGTGGTATTGGGTTTCAATGGAAGCATCAACAAACTCCGACGCTCTCGGGATGAGAGCGTCCGAGTTTGTTGACGCTTCCATGGAGACACAATACTACGATACCGTTAGCGTCAGGTAGCGTCGTGCGTTAAAACGGGGCCCATTGCCCAGGGTGTGATTGGGGGCCTGGGTCACACGTCACATGACTTGACCGGGGCCGGTAGAAGTGCTCAGGGGGTCTGTACTCTGTTACGTGATTAGGAAGCTCGCCAGGGCTGCGGCCGCTCAGCGGAGGGTAGAAGGCGTAGAAAAATCGCTCTGTTCTCGTCCTGCGCGACGATATACATGGGCGACATCGAATCTACCGGCTCAGGTGACCACGCGAACCGGCTGCGACCGGTAATATCCGGCAATGACCGGATGCGTCCGGTCTGTACCGGCTGCGTCTGCCCGTCCGTCCGCCGGCGTGCGGCGTTTAGTGACCTTACCTGGCTGTGAATAGGGTCCTGCGTCTCGGACCCGATAGGCCTGACTCCGCTCTCGGGAGACGGTATCACGCCGTTACCGGCACTGGTGGATGACCTGACCCAGTGTGAGGTCACGAATCATCAGTGCGCCGATGAGCCCCACGTTGCCACGGTGTTGATCTCAATTCGGTGGACTTTGTCTTTCAACTGCCGGTAGGGGCGGTGGCGTAGCTGGTGGTGTCCCCTATCGGCCAGGGAAGGATGTTGAAGTACCGAGCTTCACCGAGAGATGATGTATAATGCGCTAATGTATGATTTCGGGGTTTTTCGATTTCTGGGTCGTAAGTTACGTTATTCAAGTTTTGCATTTGGTAGATGACTCTGTAAAACACTCTTGGGATGTTTGTGGCTGCTGGTATTCTTGCAAGCGTTTAGTGACGATATCTTCAAATTGTACCTACTTCAGTGTCAAAATTTGCGTGAAAATACACGTTCGAAATTATCATGTGTGATGGCATCAATTGGAAAGAAAATATCACCAATGAACCAGGGTCATATACAAGGATTTGTGTAGGCTCGTAAGCCGAAGCGCAACAGCATTCATCAACGATTCATGAACTTCACTTCGATGTTCAGACGCCATCACACTACCCGTACTTCACAGATGTAAGAGGAGTTAACGCATAGGAATAAGCTTCGCGAGATATTTGCAGGATTGTGTGCTTCACCACGGACTGTGTCCTCGCAATATGTGTTATGTGTTTTGTGGACATTTAAAGCTGTCGCTGGCCAATAAGAAGACGTTAATGAATGGTTTATCCTTCTCAACTCCCTCCCTAATTCCCTGATTCCTCACGTAAATCGGTGGGAGTCGAAGCTGGAGTCCATCCGAATCGCTGTATTTCGATTTTTCTGAGAGCTAGAGTTACCGGTTCGAATAAGGGTTAGGTTAGGATCGGCGTCCTCGAAAATCTGTGGGTTGGGGAAACAGTTAGTGGACGTGGGTGGATCATTGCATTGGGTGGAGACTGGAGTTGGACGGTCTCACAATGAAGAATGCCGAAAATAAAAATGCAGCAGATTAATGAGATACTTTCTGCAAACGTGACGCAGATGTTACATCTCAGTAGGCGGAACTATGGTCAAGCGTACCCATTTTCGGGAACGCATTATCGTTCCCATGTTTGGGAACGATAAACCCAAATATGGGAACGCCATGTAGGCATTATTTTAAACAAGAAAAAGAACCGTTAAATGACGTCCAAAAAATATAAAACGATCGTGAACCGCCTGATATTTGTCTCAATATTGTTGGGAAAGAGTTTGATATTGTAAGGCCCATCGTAGTTTCAAATCGTTCCCCTATTTCTAAGGCAGTCCATCATCCGGGCCGCGAGCCCAAATTTGGGAACGCTCTCGTACACTGGCGCTGCAAGCGTTCCTTATTATGGGAACGGCGTACCCAAAATTGGGAACGATTTCACCGACGCCTTTCAGGGGCTCTTTTCATTAACAAGCATCACGTTCAACGCCGCAAATTATTGTTAACGCAACAATCATCAGATGACCTTTCCGGCAAGACCGTCGCATGTTTCGCCCGGTCTTCTGCGCTTTTATTCCCGTCGATCTCGCAGCGGGCACGCCCCCCCTCTGCAGGATTACGTAATTCACAACGCTCAGCGATGTTCAACAAGGTCTTCCATACCTATATCCACCGTCCGCGCCGAGGGTGGAGACATGTCAAGCACCTGTCTGTTTATCACCGATAGTTGACGAGCACAAGGAAGTATCCAAAAATGGGAACGCTGAATATGTTACACCCTCAAAACACCTAGTCCCAATGAAAATCTAGTTTTTTCCTTTCTTGATGAGTGTAAGTGGCAAAAGGCCTGGTAGGATGGGCACGAGGAATGGTCGAAATCAGCATAAAAATTATAAATAAGCCACACAGAGCGACCTATATAAGAGAAATTCCCCCAAAACGACCACGCTTAGAAACACGGAAGACAAAAACCACGCTCATGACGCTCCTTATAAAACAGCTCTAAACAGCTAGCATCCAAATAAAATATGTCTTTCTGGGATGATAAAATACAGCTGAATAATTTAAAACCACTGAAACTGAGTTTACAACAGTAGTTCGGTAAAATCACTGACGTTCCATGCGGTCGTGCGCCCCGACACCAAATGCCACCAATATTACCCCCGGACTGTCCGCGTGTTCGCTTGCATATGTCAGCATCTGGTGTCGCTAGTATGAAACTTCATAACCAGGCGAAAATTATTATACTTGACCTCAAAATGTAAAAAACGCTTCATTTTCCTTAAAATTGCAAGTTAAATGTAGTATAACCCATGTTTTCACCATTCCATCATTTCAAAAAATCATTAAAAATATCATTCGACGGTCAATTTCCTTGTGCAACGGTCAGATTAAAGATAATTTTATAGAGACTTAGTAGATACTTAAATTAGCGTGCACTTTTTTGAGACGTGATGCACTAATGAGTTTTAGTGGGCGAACGGCCGAAAAATTACCTTCCGTTCCCATAAATGGGAACGCCCGTTCCCATATTTGGGAACTCCGTTCCCAAAAATGGGAACGTTCCTATATTTGGGTACTCATGACCATAGTTCCGCCTACTGATCTCTGGTGTAAAATCACATGGGGCAAAACGGGCAAAATCATAGAGTTCAGGGCAAAGTTGATATTTCAATATGGCGTTGTAACTAATAAGGTAAAATAATAACTCTTTTTGTGGTTTTCTAGGTGCCAAATTATTCATTTAGCAGTTTACGGAAGATATGGCCTTGCACGGAAGTGACGCCTGCTTTACGACTTGTTTGCATGCTGAATATGGAATCATATCTCATTTTTGCCAATTGTGTTAATGTGTCATGTACTTCATGATTTATTTTTGTTTGATTTTTAAATGAACACGTGTATAGAAAGCTCTGACCAAGCTCTAGGATTTATTTTAATATTACTTTTGCTAAATGCTGCTATTTCAATTTATTGCTTAAGGTCCGCAAATTTATCATAACTCAGTAGGCGGAACTATGGTCAAGCGTACCCATTTTCGGGAACGCATTTTCGTTCCCATCTTTGGGAACGATAAACCCAAATATGGGAACGCCATGTAGGCATTATTTAAAACAAGAAAAAGAACCGTTAAATGACGTCCAAAAAATATAAAACGATCGTGAACCGCCTGATATTTATCTCAATATTGTTGGGAAAGAGTTTGATATTGTAAGGCCCATCGTAGTTTCAAATCGTTCCCCTATTTCTAAAGCAGTCCATCATCCGGGCCGCGAGCCCAAATTTGGGAACGCTCTCGTACACTGGCGCTGCAAGCGTTCCTTATTATGGGAACGGCGTACCCAAAATTGGGAACGATTTCACCGACGGCTTTCAGGGGCTCTTTTCATTAACAAGCATCACGTCCAACGCCGCAACTTATTGTTAACGCAACAATCATCAGATGACCTTTCCGGCAAGACCGTCGCATGTTTCGCCCGGTCTTCTGCGCTTTTATTCCCGTCGATCTCGCAACGGGCACGCCCCCCTCTGCAGGATTACGTAATTCACAACGCTCAGCGATGTTCAACAAGGTGTTCCATACCTATATACACCGTCCGCGCCGAGGGTGGAGGCATGTAAAACACCTGTCTGTTTAACACTGATAGTTGATGAGCACAAGTAAGTATCCAAAAATGGGAACGCTGAAATGTTTCACTCTCAAAACACCTAGTCCCAATATAAATCTACTTTTTTCCTTTCTTAATGAGTGTAAGTGGCAAAAAGCCTGGTAGGATGGGCACGAGAAATGATCAAAATCAGCATAAAAATTATAAATAAGCCACACAGGGCGACCTGCATAAAAGAAATTCCCCCAAAACGATCGTGCTTAAAAATACCGAAGGCAAAAACCACGCTCATGACGCTCCTTAAAAGCAATGCTTAAAGGAAATAGTTCACTTTCACGAAATTATTTTTTTTGCAATGGATTTGTGATTTTTTATGTTCAAAATGATCAGCAAAGGAAATAAAACCTTTTTACAACAAAAGATTATTTTCTATATTTTTGATATAGGAAGAACTTTTCAGTTTCTGTAAGGCACACGCGATCCAGTATGAAAAGAGCATGGGTCCCGAAAATTCTTCAGAAACTAGAGAAATTATCGCGGCCACCGGCATTTGGGCGATCTGCTCGTGCTTTTGTTACGCATATTTACCTCTGGACAACGAGTTGCGTTGGAGAGGCCGGAAATAGTGGCGATTTCAGGACCGCAATAATGGACCGTCATTGGAATGATTCTTTTTTTAAACGTGCACGGTTTTTAGCCGAAATTTAGTTCTTACTACAAAATATTTTGTGATTGGATTTTGGCCGAGAATGAATACCATCAGGGCTTATTTTTTACTGTCATTGTATTTTGTCCAGAAGCATATAGTGCTGTTTTATTGCAGTTTTTGCGCGTTTGTTACAAAATATGAAGCGAACCTGCAAAAAAGTTCCAAGGCAACGTTGATGTATATCGCAAAATATCATATTCACCTCAAGTTCATCCGTTCCTTCCATGATTGACTAGACAGTTTTACACATTTCAATTTTATCTTGGATCAATCAGAGGTGTCCGTGTGATCAGTGCCAACTGCCAGAGGTTAACTTGAAGGGAAGCTATGATAATTGCTCTTGTCCATGTCCCTCCACTCACACTAAGAAGAAGTTATTAAATATTTTGGTTTGTGTATTCCAAGAGGAGAGAGAAGTGGGACTAATTTCTTTGTGGCTTCATGTCGAATTGAAGATGGATCATTATATTTTCAAGGCGTTGATTAACCAAGCATTTAGTCTTTCTCGTACATAAGCAGTGGCTAAGAAGAAAAAGTTAATCATACCTTGTCCTGAAGTTCAGTCATCTTACTTCAACTCAAACTTTGCAGCAAGATCCCCAAGGACAGAGGATATATTGTATACCCATCCCGTAAATCAAAGTATTTTTGTGCCTGCAAAGGCTAAAGTTATTTGTTGTGTGCTCGGAGTGAGGCATGGGCGTTTTGTTGAATGTTTATGCGGAAATTGAATATACCTAACTGTGACCCTGTGATTGTTTGTATATTTACTACAGTCAAACAGCATATTCAAATAATTTACTCACCTAGCTCATCTCATAGCTGTACCCCGCAGGATTTGTACTTAATGATGTCTCGAGCAGGAACAAAGCACTAAACTAGCTTAGTTACATTTCCCACATTTTTCTGAGCGTCAAACATGGCATACAGCAGTGCAGAGCAGCTTCAGAGAAGAAACACTTAAAATGCACAGACTCGCACCAGCCACCCAATGAGCCAGTTCCTCATTTGGCTGCTGTTACCCTGGATGTGGTTTGGCAAGGTGAGCTAACTGTTGTCAAGTTGAAGGTTAGCAGGTAAGATTGAGTTAGGGTGAGTACTGAGTACCTAGTACCTGTAACTGGGTGCTAATGCTATGCAGGTCTTGGGTAAGTTGCAAATAAGTGTGATGATTGAGGTTAGGTCAGGTTAGTCCGGTATGAATTGATCAGGTCACATTTTTTATGGACACTTGGCAAATTAAAAAAAAAAAACTAGCATGACCTAATCTTAGCTAACCCAACTATACCTACATAACTACTAAACTACTGAGCACCTACCTAAATTGTGCCTACATCTCATACCAAGTCAAAATAAAGTTCCTTTCTGGAAGATTACCCTCAGTCCCTCAGTACTTTTTATCCCAGCCCTGTGAAAACCTAATACTTCTAAGTTCTGAGTCCCTTCTGGCCATCCACAGAAAGAAATGCTGACAGCTTTGCTTGTGTATATTAGACCAATAATCACCATCACGAATGACTATGAACACATGACATGATCACATCGTTGCATGGATTTTCACATTGACAATTTTACTTAAATCCTTTTTTCAAGAAATGCAAAGTAATGATGAACATCAAATTAAACATTAAGCTGATTTAGTGATCCAAGCTTTCTTCTCCAGTAGCAATAGAATGATCGCATGTTTCATTTGCCAGACACTGAGTACCTAATGCACATTACCATCTGCATAGCAAAGTAAAGCTGCCTGGGTTCGTTCATTCTAGAATTTTTCACTTGATAGTTAGCACTCATTGATCTTGCTGCTGTAAGTTATATTTCAATATTCATACCAATACATCTAATACGCGTTCATCAGCCAACATTTACTAGCTTGATACTGCGCGTGCGCGTGCTCTTCAGTATTGATCTCCTGCAATAACTATTATAGCTTGTTTTCGGCCAATAAGCTCTTTTAATTTTACTTTTTTTCTTGCTGATAAGTGAGCCAGATCAACTTGCGTTTATCAACCAACATTTCCCAGCTTCAACCTGATATTACTCAGGACTCAGGACTCTTCAGTCTCCTGTATACTTCAACTTCAACTTGGGATCGTTTTCAGTCAACATGCTTCTTTAATATGATATAATTCAGTCACAAGGGATTGAAAACTTCCAACAAAACGACATACTAGAGTTCGAAAACCACCAGATAAAATGCCTTGGAACGGAGCAGAACGGAGCCAAGTGGTGCTCCATTTGTTTGTTTACAATAATTGTAGTGCTGATGTATTGTTTTAGGACTCTAGCGGTCGGCTTATAAAAAAATGAAACATTTTTACAAAATTTGTATGGTAATTAATATTTTTCTGGAAGAACTAAAATATTCAAGAGCCAAACACTATGAAATACAGGAATCGGAACGAAAAAGTAACCCAAAAATCCAGCCTAATAACCGGCTCCTAAAACTGCGGCAAAATCAGCACCAAGGCCCTATATACCAGGTAGGGTCGTCCGGCGATTCTACCTTTTCGTGACGTCAGCTCGTGACGTCATTTGGAGTCAAGTCTCGAAGCCCCGTTCAATCCCCATGTAAATGAGCGATTTTCGAAGCACTGTAGAATGAAGTCTGCACAAGATATATCAAACCAAAGTATCTTATCTGAAAGAGCAGACAATTTTCTGCAAGTTATTTATTACGTGTTTTTCGCTAAATCTTTTGCTTTTTTCACAAAACCGTAAAATGTCCCCCCATGTCTCCGCAGCCTCCCTACCGCCGGCCGCCGCGCGGTCGCGGTAGTGTAGTGGTTAGCGTGCCCGCGCAGTATTCCAAAGGTCCCGAGTTCGAATCTATGTGGTGCGGAACTTTAATTGCAATTCCAAGCTGAATATACGAACATCCATAATAAATTATTATTCGTATAGCTAAACTGTCACCAAGCTATCCATATAAATTGACTTCACCCAAAATATCGGCAAGATTCTATTAAAATATAAATTCAAATATGGCGGCTTGGACTGCCGCGTGCGTTAGGCTCCGCCCATAGCTCCGCCCACATGCGTGACGTCATTCGTGTTAGTGGACACGCAGAGAGATAGGGGACGACATGGGCCTGATCAGCACTTTTCCCCGCAACTCGTTGTCCAGACGTAAATATGCTTTTGTTACTGGAGCGCCTCACTGGAGCGAATTTCTCTAGAGTTCTCGTAGATAATCTCTCTAGTTTCTGAAGAATTTTCGGGACCCATGCTCGTTTCATACTGGATGCGAATATATGCAAGGCACACATCCTCAACGCAAGACACATTTTTCGGGACGAGAAATAGAATATCTTTGCCTAGGGTGATCGTTGGGCTGTAAAAGCTCCTGATTTATGCTCGTCTCAGCCCAAGCTACGGAACTGCTATTCCAGTTCAAAACCCATGTTAAAATGTGAACTATTTCCTTTAACAGCTAGCATCCAAATAAAATATGTCTTTCAGGGTTGATAAAATACAGCTGGATAATTTTCAACCGCTTAAACTGAGTTTCCAACAGTAGTTCGGTAAATTCACTCACGTTCCACGCGGTCGTCCGCCCCGACACCAAAAGTTCTATAGCCAAAAGTCAACAATATTACCTCCGGACCGTCCGCGTCTTCGCTTGCATTTGTCAGCATCTGGTGTCGATAGTATGAAAGTTCATTACCAGGCGAAAATTATTATACTTAACCTCAAACTAAAAAATGCTTCATTTTCCTTAAAATTGCATGTTAAATGTCGTATAACCCATATTTTCAACATTTTGTCATTTTTAAAAAATCATTAAAAATATCATTCCACGGTCAATTTCCTTGTTCCACGGTCAGATTAAAGATAACTTTATGGAGATTTAGTAGATACTTCAATCAGCGTGCACTTTTTTGAGACGTGATGCACTTTTGAGTTTTAGTGGGCGAACGGCCGAAAAATTGCCTTCCGTTCTCATAAATGGGAACGCCCGTTCCCATATTTGGGAACTCCGTTCCCAGAAATGGGAACGTTCCTATATTTGGGTACTCATGACCATAGTTCCGCCTACTGAACTTCCCGCTGATTTTCATTCATAAAATGTTAAGTTATTTTTGTTTTTGATGATGTCAGTGTTGTGTTTCACAACCACGCTGCCAGCCACTGCCAGCGCATTTTGTGAGCTGACATCACAATTGTTGTTGTGTTTGAGCTATGGGCTTGTTGATGTTTCCACAGAAACCTGAATTTCCATGTGTGTTGGCAGTGAGCGGTCAGCATCGGTGAAACACCGCCCAGGATAGTGATGAGGACAGAGATGTCTTTCAGAATCATTTTTCAAGCATTTGACTTGTAATTGTGTCATTTAAGTTGCAACTCGCATGTGTGATGTGTTACTACACTTTATTGACATTTTAGCTGAGAAATCATAGATACCAGGCCCAGGGTAGGTTTGTAGGTTGTAGGTCAGTAGATTAATAGGTAAGGCTAGGTTAGGTTAGATTATGTTTTTACTGATACCAGATAGTGCCAAATCTCTACCTTCACCATCATTCTGGTATCTTCGTATGACTCCAGGCTTACTGATACCCCCTAATTTTCTTTACAGGTTGTCAAATAATGGAATCCAAGCGAGTCTATGTAGGCGGTCTCTACCATGAGGCAACAGATAAAGATCTGCGACAGTTGTTCTCAAAGTTTGGAGAAGTTGATAGTGTTGAAATCAAGAAGCGTTCAGAGAACAATGTGGTAAACTTTGTATTTGCTTATGTAAATGTCAAGACCACTGATCCTCAGATCACACAATGTAAGTGGGTGATGGATTGGCCATTGGAGCTATACAGTGGAAACTGTGTATCAGAATTTTGGCATTTCATTCGTGATTATTCTGAAGACTGAAACATAATGTATCTGTCAGTGGATTTCTTCATTTGTTTTTTGCTACTTATTGCATTTACTTGGATACCATGCATGTCTAAGATACCTAATGTAATTATTTGTGTAGGTACTTTTTGTTTAGGACAGAAGCTTGTTGTTTTGTGTCTTGTTTTGTTAAGTATCAAATTCCAACATTGCTGAGCTTTCTTGATAAAGGTCCTCTCTTAGAGATTTTTCTCACACCTGTACTTCACCATGCCCACATTGCAGGCTTCAGACGTCTAAATGGCACATTCTGGAAGGGCAAGAGGCTCAAACTGGAGCTGGCCAAGGAGTCCTTCCTCGCTAAACTGCAGCGGGAAAGGGAGCAGAACCGCCCGGCGGGCCGACCACCGCCTCCCCCACCTCCGCCCAGAAGGCGCACCATGCAGGACAGGATTCTGGATGACGTTTTGGCGTCAAAGAAACGTCGTTCGGAGGATGTCGCGTCAGGCGGTGTGGTAGATTTTACTGAGGAAGCTGCCACCCCGGCGTCGGCGCCGGTTCAGAACGGACACCATGAGTCTCCTGAACCAAAGCGTAAGAAGAAGAAGAAATCACGAGAAGTCTCCCCTCCGCCGCCGGTCGGGGTAGAGGCGGACAGGGACGGAGATGAGCCGCCGCCTACGCGGGGCGCGCTGCGAATGTTTGGGGGTATCGGTGGCGCACGGTTGGTGACCCCAACTGCTCCTGTGTCAGAGTCTGCTGCTCCTGCTCCCACTGCCTCTCCATTTCCGGCTTCTGTGTCATCGTCTTCCGCTACTGCCCCTGCCACTCACACTCCAGTCAGTGGCGACTTTTTGTCCCGTCTGGAGGCGTTCAGCTCGGTCTGGGGAGACGATGGTGATGGCGCACCTCGGGAACCGTTCGTGCCAGCTCGTCGTGCCGCCGCCACCCCTGTTGTCGCATCCGCTCCCGCCACCGTCACTGCCACCACCGCCTCCACCGCGAAAGCCACTCCCAAAGCCTCTGCCAACGTCCCCGCTACTTCTACTGCCAAAGCCGCAGCCACCGCCAGTCCTACCGCTCCTGCCCCCGCTCCGGTGGGTCGGAGAGGTCAGACGGCTGTGGATGACAATGAGAGGCGAATGGCCTCACTGAGACAGAAACAGGAGGCGTTCCAGAGTCAGAAGCGGGCACTACAGCTGGCGCTCTCGGCCAAGGTGAGTGCGTGCCTCGTGGTGTGTCAGGCTAAGGGCGGAGGCTTGGAGACGTCGTCGGACTATTGCGAGTATGACTGATGCGTGGGTGGCTTCAATGGATGATTATTATAATATGAAATGTCATCACTCTGTAATTTGTCAAAAAGCTCTTGCAAATTCATTTATTTCAACTAAGGCTTGTTTCTGGTCGAAGGATTTGGTCGGCTGGTCGCACCTCCATAATTTTTTTTGCAACTGACGGACACCTCTGTTTGTCGGAGTTCAGCTGTTCTAAGTCCTGTATTGCATTGATCAGTTTGATAATGCTTATAATAATTAATAGGTCTTCCCCTAGTGCTCTGTACTGATGCTTGGACCCAGAAGCTGGCTGTAGTCACTGCTGTCCCTACCTCCCTAGTTCAGCGTTATCTCACCCGCGCCCATCCCTTCCCCAGGCAGATGTACCTCGTCCCAACAAGAGGATTGTGTTCGACGCCTCGGATGACGAAGACGCCGAGCCGGAGCGGGAGTCCTCGGGAGGAGTCGGGAGGACTCCCGGCCGAGGACCCAGCCTGTTTGGGGAGGACGAGGACGGAGAGGAAGAGCAGGAGGACGCTGACGATTTCAGAGTCCGGCCGCAGTACGAGGGAGCCAAGGGACAAAAGGTGAGTAGGATGGATAAGATGATGGGATGAGAGGTTACCAAAAGGGAAACATGTCCAATGTTATTGTACACACGCCCTGTGTGTATGAGTAAACTTATCTCGCACGCGATCGTCTTTTGATGCTATAGCCTATGACAAGTAACTTAATTCGATAATGATGATAAGCTGATGGTTTACTTGGAGAGGCCTGGGAGACCGTTCCGTGCTTCTATCCTCAGGATACTGAAGTCCTCCTCCACGCCGCAACCCCCCCCCCCCCCTCCAGGCTGGACAGGCACATTTATCTCATGCACCGCTGCTCCCTTGGAGCGGCACCGCTGCTCCCGAGGGAGCGCACCCCGTAGCCGGGTGCAGTGAGTACCTTGGGGCTGGGTGGCCTGTCCTCTGGACGGGCTCAGCCCCGGCGACTCTCTAGGGTGTCTGCCCAGACCAATGTCTCCCCCTATATCCTATCATCCTCCCGGCTCTGAAATGGTCTCATTGGACCGAAAGGGCCTAACCCAACAAAAAAGGAGAGGCCTGGGATGGAAGGGAAACGCAAAAAGGGAGGCTGGTTGTGGTAACTCGTTGTGAGTTACGTTTACCACCGGCACCCGCAGCTTTGGGTACGATGGCTTGATGCAGGTTCGGTTTAGCCCTGATCTTGGCCCGCTTTACCCTGCACATTACACCAACGCCTTATCCTGTGATACTGTTACCCCGTTACCCCTCCAGCTTACCCCTTCGCCCCCCGCGCAGTTACAGGCGCTCCAGGCTCGGTTCGGCGCCGACGACCGGTTCACGCTGGACGAACGGTTCGCCGATGAGGACCAACAGTCCCCCGAGGACAGAGTTGAGGAGGAGGAGGAGAGAGGAGAGGAGGTGCGGGAGGAGCACCGTCAGCAGATGAACATCCTGGACAGCGTGCTCGGTACGGCCGCAGAGCCCGAGAGGAAGGGCAAACTCGCCAAAAAGAACAGGTGGGAATAGGATGGAATCGATAACAATCTTACGCCAATTGCATGATGACAAACCTTTATTAGAAAGGTGTTACGTTGCTTTGTCTATTTTGAGTGTAAGTCAAGTTAATTGAAGTTTATCGAAGTAGGTAATGTGCAGAGTTATAAACATTCGCGTGATATTCGTTAAAAAAAAAAAAATCAGACAAATAATTGTCATGTTGTCCCACCAGTGATTTATACTCGTGGTAACGGCATCGTCAGCTCACTATTCTAGTCCCAGAATGACTCAGTACTTTTTCCTCAATGTAATATATCCGCCTCGCATCTTCAACAGCCTGGCTATCATTCTAACTCCATGTTCCTCTCTCTCCGCAGTGACAGCGGTCCGGTACGGTTCGACCCCTCCCTGGAGTCGCACGCTCAGTATCAGCTCGACACCAAGAAACAAAAACAAAAGAAGAAGTCTTTGGATGCAGACCGTACCCCCACCCCCGCTACCATTCCTTCCACCGCCCCCGCCCCGGCTCCAGCGGTAGAATCGGGCACCTTCTACCAGGTGGCACCGCAGCTGGGTGACCTGTTCAGCCGCGGAGGTTCTACCGGCGGCGGGGGAGGATTCAGCCTGCTGAAGATGATGGGCAGAGCGGCAGATGATGGTGAGAGGAAGGGCGGGGCTTTGAGAGGAGTCGTGTTTCTGGATGGCTAAGCAATAGGCATAATCCTGCCAGCTCCCGTAAAGCAAGGGTTTGCTGACTTTCATTTAGGAAAAACTGAGAAGAGTGGTTTAGTGCCTGAAGGATGTAACTTTTCGTGAATTATATCTTGCATGAGATGTTTCATGTTTATCATTAGTTGAGAAGCTTTATGGTGTTGTTTCCGAAGATCAGTAATATGGTTTATTCGTGGCGCGGTGTTTTTTTTTCTGATTTTTTACCATTGGTCAGCTTCGCACCTTTTGTGATGCATAGTTTGTCGCGTTATTTGGATCAAAGAGTAGCAAACTCTTTATGACCTGTTACCGATTTCAGATGAAGAGGAAAAAGAAGATGACTACAAGACATCAGAGATCAAGGAAAAGAAGAAGCGTCACAATATTGAAGGTGCCGCCGCCAATCCGTTCCGTTACGACTCGAGCAGTTCCGAGGACGAGGCGGAAGATGGCAGCACTGTGCAGTCACTAGGTGTCGCAGCGGGCGGCGGCTGGACGCAGGCGCGCAAGTTCTTCCTGCAAAAAGATGATCCGCGACTCGAGGGTGAGAATTCGCTTTTCCTTGTTATCACAGGGGATAATTTATCAATTAAAATGCATAATGACACTTTCGAAAATATAATAAGCGAAGCTCCATGCTTGAAAAAAGCTTGGGCGTTATCACGCTGCACACTGAATCTGGATTCTGGATCGCCAGTTTTTCACACACGCATTCTTTTTACAGAGGGTCTGGAGTGGGTCCGATCAGCACCTTCCGTTGACGAGCTGCGGGAGCGGGCAGAGCAGCAGCGTCCCGAGCTGGTGGAACTGTTCAGAACCATGCGTCACAGCCGACAGCGCGCGCAACGGAGGGGTCGGGGAAGGGGGCGGCGGATGCCCGGACGGTGACGATGGAAAGTCGCCGGGAGGGGTACCGATGGATGGGGCTGGAGTGAATATATGGGGACAACGCAGCGCTGGTGTTTTTAAGAGATGGGAGAGAAATAATGAGTTTGATATGATTGAGGCCATTAATTTGGTGACGCCAAAGTGCTGCATCGGTTTGACCAATGTGAGAGTCGCATGTCTGTTATGACTTATGGAAATGGCACAAACAGGCCACTGCGTGAAAGGAACGATAGACAGGCAATTGCTCCGTAATATCGAATATGTGTATAATCGGTTATCTAGCTGGTGAACCAATAACCGTGGAACGTCTGGGGCGTTCCACGACAAATCGACAAGTGCCCTGCACCCTCATATTTTATTTTTTGCTTAAAATTGGTGTCTAATGGGTTGTGATGGGCGGGGAAACCAGCTGTGGCAAGGATTTTTTTCTTCGAACAACGGTTTCCGAGATATAGCCTCGGGCAATTCTTGGAGTTTGCGCTGCAGCCCTATGTTTGGCGGCCTATAACTCAGAAACTATTAGTTTTTTCACGATAAAACTTCATATGGCTCAACTCACAATCAACCAACAAACATTTTGGCTATCTCGGATTTTCAATTTTTGAAAATTTTGATCACGTGACCTTTTGTCCTATTTTTCAAAGAGTGACCTTGATATTTTCCCCACTGAAAGTTGCAATTTTGTCTGATGACGATTAAAGCCTTATCAATTGTCATTCATATGCGATAATAAAAAAGTGGTTATCGCCCTGCGTTGACCTCAGGTCAGTTCATTTTTATGACCTGTCCATTATTACGAGCGGGAGCGACAGCGAGATCTCGAGAATAAAGCAAGATAGCGACAAGCGGTAAACGGTAAAGGGTACACACGGATAAGGTCTATAATTTTTACTGAGGTCATTTTCAGGTCAGGTCAAAGATGACGTCACAGGAGCTATAAGGAAGTCAAGGCGGCACTATACATATATATGAAGTTTTTCTCGAATAACTTTCAAGGTATCCCAGCTAGGAACAAACTAATAGCACCATCGTGATCCTCTCGTCGATCCGCATCGAAACATATGTATGTTGACCTCGAAAGGTTGAAAGGTCAAAAGTTGACCCTAGGTCACGTGATCTAAGGTCAACTTTTGACCTTTCGACCTTTCGAGGTCAACATACATATGTTTCGATGCGGATCGACGAGAGGATCACGATGGTGCTATTAGTTTGTTCCTAGCTGGGATACCTTGAAAGTTATTCGAGAAAAACTTCATATATATGTATAGTGCCGCTATTTTGACTTCCTTTTAGCTCCTGTGACGTCATCTTTGACCTGACCTGAAAATGACCTCAGTAAAAATTATAGACCTTATCCGTGTGTACCCTTTACCGTTTACCGCTTGTCGCTATCTTGCTTTATTCTCGAGATCTCGCTGTCGCTCCCGCTCGTAATAATGGACAGGTCATAAAAATGACCTGACCTGAGGCCAATGCAGGGCGATAACCACTTTTTTCATTATCGCATATGAATGACAATCGATAAGGCTTTAATCGTCATCAGACAAAATTGCAACATTCAGTGGGGAAAATATCAAGGTCACTCTTCGAAAAATAGAACAAAAGGTCACGTGATCAAAATTTTCAAAAATTGAAAATCCGAGATGGCCAAAATGTTTGTTGGTTGATTGTGAGTTGAACCATATAAAGTTTTTATCGTAAAAAACCAATAGTTTCTGAGTTATAGGCCGCCAAACATAGGGCTGCAGCGCGAACTCCAGGAATTGCCCGAGGCTATATCTCGGAAACTGTTGTTCGAAGAAAAAAAATCCTTGCCACAGCTGGCTTCCCCGCCCATCACAACCCCTTACACCAGTTTTCAACGAATAATAAAATATGAGGGTGCAAATTTAATTTTTTATTTGTCGATTTGTCGTGGAACGCCCCGTCTAGGCGGGTGGTGTTGTATGAAGGCGTGCGTAAAATTTCGATAGAAGTTAGTGCTTCTTTTTTTGCAGCGAAATAACATTGCTTTGCGCCATTTACTGCGCGTGTGCTACAATCGTGAAGCGAGTCGTAACCAAGGCCCTAAAACATAAGGTTGGACGAAGTTTCCTACCAACAAGGTACTAGAATTTGTCGTGATATTTCGTCCTTGCAGTTGTTTCTTTGCAAATATAGAGCAAACAAGCATGTTTTCTAATAGTATGAAAATTTGAAAGGAAATAATAAGTCACTTTACATTTGATTCACAAAAAGCCATTTCGAAATCAAATTCAGTGTAGTTTTGACCAAACTCTAGTCGACTTATCCAGTATCTACTTAAAGGGACCCTCCCACCTTCAAAAAAGTTAATGAATTGGCATGAAAGTGATGTCGCTCGATTCAGAAAGAGCAAAAACGAATATCTACCAAATTTCATCGAAAAATATTCACCGGTTTTCAAGATATTAGACTTTTACTTTTGTTTACTTTTTGGAATCTCCGCTGTTCCTAGCGACTTTATTTGAAAGTGCGGCATTTGTTGCGCGCAAAGCAGCATATACCACCGCGTGCTACAAAACGTTTTAGTCAAACATTTAACGGACGTTCGAAAGCCTGATGACGTCATCAGACTCCCGTAATGGTTAAGAGATAGGGACCACGCTGGTCCCACCCTGCAAGTAAAGGGAAGAAATTTCTTGAACACCATAAAGCTGCGGGGGTTGCGACCAGGATAAATGGTGGTTTCTGAGCCTGGCCGCAAACTTGGCTATCTCAACTCAAAACTAATGTTAAGGTGGGAGGGTCCCTTTAATTTTCCAGATGCGTGGTTCAGACAAACACGTTGCTATGGGCGGTTGCTAAGGACGCTATCTCGTATTTGCAGATAGTTTTGTTGTTATGAAATAGGGTAAAACAAGCTCTTTGGATATTTTCCTGTATTTCGGGGCTCATCTAATTTATCTAGCTTTGGCATAATATTTTTACTTTATCATATCATGGATCCAGACACAGGTGGTTAATTTCAGCGCGTAAAGAAATAAGAATAAAGACTTATTATGTTATACAGAATGCAAGTCGCCAGTCCCTGGATATACCGTGGCACGGGTGGAGAATGTTTGAAAAAGTTACCCCGGCCGGCGACCGAAAGTAAGAAAGACGATGATGCTCAAATATTTGTCAACGGTTATCAACAAACCCCTATTCTGTGGCATAGAATAATGGATGTCTGCCGTTTGTACGTTTTTAGGGAAAACTGCTGCACGCAGGTGACGGAAGATTTCGTAATTGTAACAACAATTTTGCAACACGCCTTAAAATTTCGGACGCATGTCACCTAGTGCTAGCCGCTAGGTCAGGTCATCAGGTCAAATTTGCTGGATGATCGTGCTAAAAATGCCATCATGCCCTTTGCAAAGCTTATTCCGTGGAAGTTGCAACCTTCCCACACAAAACAAAATGTCAAATTTGACCGTTTTGACCTCTTATTGATTTGAGCTCGCACCTGAAATATTATTCGCGACCGAGCCTTTGTAATAACACGAAATGTGGGTTCCTACCATACTACGTCGTTGCTCAACGAGGCTCATGTCTAGGACACGCCTGCAACTCTAATAACAGTGTGTGCCGCACCGTCTGCCACCCAGTGCAGTGCACAACAATCGATCGGTTCTGGTTCCAGTGGGATGCTGCGCCTTTTGAACCACGCGGTGGGTCGCGGTCCCATCGGGCTGGTGTCAGTTCTCAGGCTCTTTAACAGCTAATTCCGGTTAAGCCAAATATAAACGGTGAACCGTGCGAGATTTAGCGTCTCCGTCAAATACTTCCATACTCCCGGCTCTCCGTAGTAAAAGATGTACAAGATTTAGAAGACGTTATTATTCAGAATAACACAGGGCCAAAACATTAAAACAGACTGCAATAGTTAAAGAACAGACGCGCAACTAAAATTTGGACAAGAATTACCCGATGTGAGGGAATTCAACCCTCAAGCCAAATAACAGGAGCAGTCACCTACCTCGGACGCTGCCAGCCACGAAGCGCCCCGATAGACGGCGAGCGCTACGTTTTAAGCGGTCCGAGGTGTCGCGGAGGCGCGGAAGGTGAGACGACTGAGCGGGCCGAGACTTGTATTGCAACTGTGGTTCTGATTCTAATTCGCCAGTGCCTGTGCGTTATATGCAGGGTGGTTGCACAATGAAGGACCGGTCCGCCGACCCGCCGGGTCGGTGGACGGTGCCGACACGTGGGGAAAGTGACGGCTATTTCCATGTAACAAAGCTTGCACGTGTACTCTCTTTATCATGATATGGAAGAAGGGAATCGGTCCCACATTATCTTCCCTCCCCCAGGGAAGCGTAGGGAACCGAAGCGATCATAACAAAGAGAGGAAACGTTTAGCTGACGGAGAAAGAAATTTCCATATGAGCGTATCACAAAATGGTATGAACAGATAAGTAAGTTTCGTGACAATTACACCTACTACCGGGCGATCCCTCCGCACTCTTGGCGGGGACCGTCCCTGGGCATCTCCATGGCCCTCGGCATCTCTGGCCGAATATCAATACAATATAATTTCAGTGAATTGACCACGATTAACGTATTTGAATGTTCATACCGTTGAGAGCAGGCTCTTTTTACGTTTACTAGTGTCAAAATGACACGGCAAAGTGCAGGCAAAAATTAAATGCACTTGCAATTTCTCCGTAAATTTTGGGGTGAGCAACCACAATGAAGCACAACAAACGACAGAACACTGACGAAAACGGATAATGAAACAGTACGGTTTTTGAAACACATCGAAGTTAAAACAAATTTCACAGCACAATTTCACTGTCACTTTTTGACGAAAATACAGCAAAAGTTCATAATGGGTGAATTTTCTTGATTTCGGTGCCAATTTGTCTTGAATTTAGCGTTGAAGTTTTTGTTTTATCTTCTCTCCTCCGATCTTGAGTCCTTCAGCGAGGTGGTGTCCATCACTCGATGATGCTGAGGAGGACGGCGCGGGCTGTTGAGCCGTGCGCTGTCGGCGGGCTCCGTAGTAGTCCAGGGCAGCTGATGACGTTGCCGCAGGGCAGATGGTATTGCCGGGCAGAGCTAC